CTCTGCCAGTGGCGAAGCATTTCCTGGTTGTGCCAGCTGATGTAACAGGGAGCAGCGGCTTCAAAGTGCAGCCCTAGAAGTCAGGGCAGCCTTCCCAGGAGAGTGCAGCAGGGAGAGAGGAGGTCTCCATCCAGAAAAGCCAGAAAGGGGAAGATTTTTCTTCTTTGGTCTCATTCGTGTAGTGCACTCACATGACCATAGATGGAATGCTTTGGGGAAGACGTAAGAAGAGGATTTCAGTTTAATCAGGTCCAGGCACAAACTTTGGACCAACAGCTTAACCAGCAGAGCATCAGCAGCGTCTCAGTCCTCTCTGCTCACAAAGCCAAGAGCTATCCAGGCGTTTGGTGAGATTTTCTTACTCAAGAACCACCTCTACTTTTCTCCTATTCTCTTCTTCTCTTCTTCTCCAAACAGACCAGTAACCCTCATGAACAGCTGGTCTGATAAATACTTCTGTGCCAAAAGAGAACACGAATGGGTTTGTTTGCAGGGACTTCAGTCACCTGGGAATATGTCAGGAACGCCAACATGAGTGATGACTTACATCAGGCCTCACCACCCACTCCAGCAGCAACGTGAGAATGGAACAGAGCTGAGCCAGGATTCCCAGAAGGAAAAGCCCTGGGCAGAGGCAGGATGGTGAGGTCAGCTGTGTCAGAAACTCCACCGTTTTCAGGGGAAGGGTTTTAGGCAGAGGGCTGGAGGCACATGGCCTGGTGCCACGTCCTTGCTAGCTTTGCTCAAATTAGTTGTTATTTATGCACAGCTATGGTGGGAAGGAAGTTCTGATGAGTCAGGGCGCAGTGGCTGCTCCTGAACTCAGCTGGAGCACAGAGATGTGGCTGGGGAAGTACTGTTGCTGTGCATGGTAGTTTATTGAGTCCAGAAGATGCTGCGGGGTCTGGGCTGTGTCTTTGTCCCCGTGGGGTGGTATGGGGCTCCTGTGGGTATAGAGGGGCAGAGGAAAGCTCCTGCCACAGTGGAAACAATGATAAGGGAGAGCAAAAGGGAGGGAAGTATGGGAGGTGCTGCCATGGATATGGTAGGCTGACCACCCTCTGCTGCATGGTGATATCAGACCAACGTGGGATATGCTAACGTGGGCCACCGGTGAAGGAACAGCCCTGCTGGGGCCAGAGTGCTCGCCACTGACTCTGTCCTGGAAACAGGACATGAAAGGGCCTCTGACATCTCCACTGTTTTCAGGCAGGAGTGATATGAAGGTGGGATGAGCTCTGGTTCATGCTGCTGCATCACTTTCCCTCTTCTTTCACCCATGGGAGTGAAACTTTATGGCCTTTCCTCTCCCTTTCCACCCTGACCTTTGCAGGTCATTTGACAAACAGGTCAGAAGCAACCAAGACCACATCAATCTGCCGTTAACCACCCACTCCACAGATGCTGAGGCTGTAAAGCTGGGTGACCCTGTGAGCTGGGCTGACGTAGCCAGCACGAGCCGCTTCTCTTTCTTGGCCACGTCCTCCTAGAGGGAGCCATCTCTCGTCTGCCATCAGCTGTTGCCTGCCATTTGTCTCCCTGGGGAAGACCACCAGGCTAAACCAAGGTCCTCTGAGGTCCTCTGTCGGGTAGGTTTGCACAAGTTGGATGTGCCCTGCCTCTCAGGGAAGCGACACAAGTGACGCACTGCCTGCACACACACTACCTTTATTCAACGCTATCCTTCAGTAGGAGGCATGACTCAGCTGTGCAAATCACTGTCCCGAACACTGAGGATGGGGACTTTCCACACAGCAAGCCCTTTTTTGTTCTCTGTGAGACCTAGGCAATCACTGAGGGCACGCTGCCAGCAAACTGTAGAAACGCATATATCAGAATGGAGCTCAGAAGCCCCAGTGCATCCCCTGCTCAACACATCTGGCTCCCAGGTAAGACCTGGTTGCTCTGAGGCTCATCCGATATACGTTTGTGGGACCAGTAGGGAGCAGTGAGAATGGGGCTTCCTCACCACCCCGCACAGACAGCAGAACACAGTTGTTCTGTGGGAACAAGCAGTGTCTCCCACCAAGGGGCTCAGTTCAAAGCTGGTATTTCCAGGTGTGGCATAGCACAGTTTGCAGAAGTGAACATGTGGCAGCATGATGTGGTTCCACAGCAACCTGCAGGCGTGAGTCAGCATGGCTGCCATGCCTGGGGGTGTGCAGACCCCCACCCAGCAGCTTTGCTCTGAGCATGGCACACGGGGTGGCAGCACTGAGTGTCTGAGAGCAGACAGCCAGTAGCAGAGGGAATCAAATCAGCCCAACATGGGGATCCCTCTTTGCAGAATGGAGGCTGCCTGGGTAAATCCCACCTCTGGGCAGAGCTCCTCTTAGCATCCTCCACGCATTTCTGCACCATCTGCTGACATTTTTGCTACATAATGGCTGGGGCTGTGCAACGCACTATGCCCAGGTTCATAGGGCAGGGAGACCTCCTGGACACGCCACAGCCGTGTGAGCTCTGTCTGCCTCTCTGCATTCAAGGCAGTCTGCAGTTCCACAGACAAGATACGTGTGCAACAGAATATATTTTCTTCTGAGACAGAGCAGATTCACACATTTTGATCCGCACCTAAAGGCTGTCAGAACTGCACCTAATCCCCCGTGTCCTTGCCCCACCTTGTCAGTCACTGTAGGTGAGAAATGACACCACTGGCCGTGGGGAAATCCCCAAGTGCTTCTGTAAGTGCTGTGTAAATACAGTGTGCTGGGAGCAAGCTGCGCTTGAGGCATGAAGCTCTTCTGAGGTCTGGTTCTTCCTCCAGATGTATGGCTGGAGCAGCCCCAGGGGCCGCGCACGCACTCCGTGTTGCTCCTTGTGGCACTGCACCCTGCTCATTGCCTGTCCAGCAGTAAAGTTCTCAGTTTGCAGAGAAGCGAGACTGATGCGGAGGTGGCCCAAGAGCTGTCCCAGCTTCGGTTCCTCTGCCATAAGATGTTCCTGTGCTGCAATTCACGAGTGCAGGGAGAGTGCAACATCTGCCCCTGGCTCACGCCGGCATCCTTCCAGATTTCAGGCCTGAAACTGCTCAGAAGAGGAATTTCCAAAACAAATGTTGCTATTTGAAGAATGCGGGGGCTGGGGGGTGGGGAAGAAATAATCACAACAGAGATAAGGACCTGACAGCTGAACAGGCTCTGGCTCAGGCTGGTCTGGGACAAGGATCGCCCGGAGCCAGAGCTGAGGGTCCAGTTGGGGAAGCGGCAGCACAGAGGGGCTGCTCTGCTGTCTACGTTTGCCCCGGGCTGCTGAGGGTCCCTCTGCCCAGGACCAGTTCTGCTCGGCATCCCTCCAACCAGGTGGCACTGCTGTGATGTCGGTGTTCCGTGGAATGCACCCTGGCCTGGGGTCGGCTCCCCTCCTCCCAGCCTGAGGGAAGGAGTGGAGCAGCTCGGGGCAGGGAGTTCAGGAAGAACTGGTTTGCAAAAACCAGATGCCTGCACCCAGTTTGGCTGCTCCTTCCCTTGTTTTATGGCAGCTGGGTATGTGCAGAAGCAAGATCCCTCTGTCTGCAGTGGGTTCCGCTTTTGATGGCATCTGGGCTTTCCTTATCCCCATCAGCTGCAGCACAAAGGGCTCTTGGTGCTGCCCACAGATGCACTTCAGTCTCTGCTCTCTAGGGCTGAGCTCACATCTGGCGTTACTGGCTCCCGGCTGCACTTCTGTCATTTGTTTATTAAAGTTAATTTCATCAGGCTGCAGTGATTTATTCAGGTCTGGAGCCTCCTGTAACAGGGAGCTATTATTTGGTGTGCCACCAGCTCTCTGCCATCTGCAACCTCCACGCAGGTTCCACAACAGCTGCTTTCCAAAAGGTCAGCAAACCACTTTATCAGCACAGTTCCTTGTTTCTTGGTCTTACCAAGCCATCAAGTGATATTAAATCAAAAATATGCAGAGGGAAGCTGATTATGTAACAGGAACACCGTTCCCTTTATTTGATTAAGGCAGTAATCCCATCTTGTTTTGCTCTAAAAGGAGGGAAAACAAGTCTAACAATACCGTGCCTCACCTCTGATTGGAGCAGCATTTCAGTCTCCTTGCTGACGTGGATGCTGGTCTGGTGCTTGGATTAGTGGACAGCTGCTCCCAGGATCATGCTTCCTTTACCTTGGTGCTGGAAACACACTGCCAGCTTCCCTTCTATGAGGAACTGAAAGAGAACCCCAGCGGACAGCAGGGTCCCTGCTGCCCTCTGGACTACCCTAAGAACAGGGGCTTCTTCACCAGAGGCTTTGGCAGGAGCGTGCCGGGTGTTTTGCAGCATTTTCGTGGAAAGGGACAGTGCTGGAAGCTGGAGGGGATCTGAAGTTATAGAACGTCTAGGGTGGGAAGGGATCTTAAAGCCTGCCCACTTCCAGCCCCTCCTGTGGGCTGGTTGTTCCCCCAGACCAGGCTGCTCAGGGCCCAACCAACCCGGCCTTGAACACCTCCAGGGATGGGGCACCCACGTTTCTCTGGGCAGTCTGTGCTGGTGCCTCGCCATCCTCAGAGAGAAGAATTTCTTCTTAACATTTAACCTAATTTTCCCCTCCCTCAGTCTAAAACTGTTCCCCTTTGTCCTACCACTATCAGACTATGCAAATATTCTCCCTCCTGTTCACGAGCTTCCTTTAAGCAGTGGGAGCCACGCCATTCCCTCGGGGCTTTGTCCAGGTGAGGACAAACCTCTTGCTTCCCGTTTCATCCAGCTTACCCCCTCAGCTTTGTGCTCTGACCAAACTCTGTAAAACAGCCCAGACCTGAGGAAGAATGCACAGTGTGCGTTTCCAGCACCTGGGTTGTGTGGATGCAGGGGGAAGGTCTATGTTTTATGCTTGAAATGGGTTAAACACAGCCGTTTTGTTGGACTTGTTTGCCCTCCACTTCTTGCCTTTGCCACTGATGCAAAGGTGAGGCCTCACAACAGCTTCCCCAATCCTGCCTCTCTCCTGAGCCCACCCAGACAGCGAGAGCACCGGGAGAAGGCCCTTTCATCACAGTAATACTGCCAGACATTATAACTGAAAACACTTTATTTGACATCAGCAGTAAAATAGGAACATTGGACTATACATCCATTGGCATTTAAATGATAAAAATGCAAAAGCAAAACCATTTGCGAGAGACCTGCGAACAGTCTGGTACATAAGTAACACCCAGGGGAAAAGCTGCATGCTGGGACCCTCCCTCATCCCTGCAAGCAAACAGCAACACCAAGGAAACCCAGCATTGGTGCTTCCTCTGCAGCTATTTCTTGCAGGTGTTCACTGCTATGCACAGCACTGCTTTGAGTGTTGCTGCAGGAAGGGATGAACCACCCAGAACAGGTGGAAACTGAGTTCTGTGTAAACATGAGTGCTTGTAGAAAAGGCCCACAGGGACAATTTCAGGGCCCGGCTGAACCAAAAGCATTTCACCAAAAGAAGGAGCACAGCTAATGCGGGGACAAGAGTTGGATACCACAGGCTGGTCCCCAATGGTGAAACAAACAAGCAGCAGCCCCAGCTTTGACATAGCATTTGTGTCGGAAAAGAAACAAGGCGGCAGTTTCCTGCTCCACCACTGCCTGCGTGCTGAAAACCATTTTCAGGTTTCCTGGTTTCCCAGTTCCCATTTGTCCCCTCTTTCAAGGCACATCTGTAGACAGCTTCAATTGCAACACCAGAAGCAAGCGCTCAGACCACCTGCACGACATTGTGTGATTCCGGCATACAGCAAAACAACTCATTGCACTGACTTCTCCTGATCTCTAAATAAGCAGAGGAAAGACAAACAAGCGAAAACCAGCACAACTCTCCGATGCAGAAGGCGGGCACTTTGCAGTGTGCAGGCAGGTGCTCCACACTCACAGCTTCCAGCCTTCTGGAGCACAAAGGCTCGGGGCTGAACCAAGGTGCTCTCTCAGAGTCCCTGGATTGCCAGTAGGTGCTCAGTGGGGTTTGGTGCCGAGCTGCCCTGTGGGCACAGGGCCCAGCCTGCTCAGAAAATCAGAACAAAACCACCAGCCTTGCCTGCATTTCAGTTACTGGTGCAGTCTGCAGGGTTCTGCAAATGGGTATCTGGCCTGGCTTCTGCAACACATCCTACTCTTGTACCCCCTTGTATCTGCATGCACCAGAACCTTGACTGGCCAAAAGTCAACGCACTTTCAATGCACTCTGCAAGCCTGCTCTCATGCCACGCCAAGCGTGGCCGGTGCAGCAACCATGTGTGAGTGCGGGGGGTGAGCACGTGTCCAAAGCGACTCTGGAAGGGCAGCTGGGTACCTTGCTGTGAGCGTGGTCTGCGCATCCTTGGAGCCACCGCTGGCTAGGAAGAGACATTGAGACAATAGAGCAAGGCACTGTCCCCTGGCCCTGCAGGATCCCACCCCTGTAGCGCAAGGATTCAGCAAAACCTTCAGGTCCTACATGGTCCTAAATCCCCAAAAAGGAAGAGGGAAAAAAGTCAAAGGGAAAGAAAAAAGAAACAAAAGGAAACAAACAAAAAGGCAGTGCTGAAGATGATCCCCAATACGTGTGTCCCTGATTTCAACAGCCTTCAGCACAGGCCAACCAAGTGCAAATTGCCGCGATCGGAGCCGGCGGGCAGAACTCACCAGAAGGAATTAGGATTTCTGCTTCGGCAGAGCTTGAAGCAGCTCCGAGGCGTTGGTGCCCAAAGCTTCCCCAGGCCGTGGATGGGAGCAGAGACGCCCAGCAGCAGGCAGTGCCTGCAGCGCTGCTCCGTGCCTCCGCGTGGAACCTGGCACAGCAAACCTCTCAGCAAACCTCTCAGTTTGTGAGCAAACGCAGCGCGGGCCCTGCCGGCACCTCCGCAGCCCGTGGGCAAGCAGCAGAGCACGTTCTCGTACGCGGTGACACAGAGCCTACCAGCCTGAAGATAAAGGAGGCCTTGAAGCGTATGCCGTTATGCTGCACCCTGCTTTAATCTGGCATTAAATATACCGCTTGCGATATACAAATTACTTTAAAAAGTTATCAAAAAGTTACAACGACAATAAAAGTAATAAGTGAATTCAAGTTTTACACATGACCTTGCAAGCAGAATGTTGCTCTTAAGAACCTTGAGACCATGTTTAAATAGCGTGGCAACTTCCTACCACTGGTAAAAGTGTCTGTAAATTTTAAGGCTATCAATTCCTTGTGCAATTAAACCCATCTTCTCTTTCTGGGAAAAACAAACAAACAAGCAAACTAAAACGACCAACCAACCAACCAACGAGATCTTGCTCTGCTCAGGCAAAGAAAATCACACGCAGCAGGCAGGTTATGGGGAGCCAGCAGGTGCTGCGGGCCACCAAGAGCTGCCACGCATCTGTGCAGCCCCCAGCCCGTGCACGGAGCTCTCTGAGGGCACATTCTGCCTCAACTCACTCAGAAGTCTCTTCTGAGACCAAAAGAAATAGTGACATCCGCGGAATCCGCACTTGGTTATTCGTAATGCGGAGAAGACCTTTTGCTTTGGTCACTATTAGGAAAAAAATTAAAAAAAAAATAAAAAAACCCACGTAGTTTTGTCTCTCTTAAAAAGCAATCTAATGAAATGAGTAAACTTGTACAATTTTAGCAGCGTTTTAGAGTCCTTCATAAAATAAAACCAAGGAATGAATTAAAAGGAATGTTTCCATCCACCCAATTTAAAAAGCCTATCGTGGGCAGTCACTGCTGCTGCACCACAGCTGCAGCTGGTGAACTGACGCGGCACCAGCAACGACTGAACACGGGGAGCACTCTGGCAGATCAGATTCAACATTTTCTGGCGAAAAGAATTTACAACTGTTTTGTACAGCTTCCGAACTTATAAAACAATGGAGGTGAAGTTATAAAAACAACCAACGGGAAAAGCCGTCGTCCAGCCCGTCTGGAGAGGCTCTGGCATGCAGAGAGGCCTCCGCGTTGTTCATCACAACCCTTACAAAACCCGGTGACACAAAGAATCCGCGAGCCCAGCGTCCCGGGCGCCGTGCCGAGGTCTCTGCCGTGCCGGCAGTGTCAGCTGCTGGGCGCGCCGATGGCCACTGTGATCCTCGTGTACAGAGGGAACCTGTCAGTCCTCAGCACCTCGTAGGAGAGCGAGTTCAAGCCATCGGAGCTCATCGTCTCCCTGGTGTGAGCAATTCGGTCAAACCTGCGGAGGGGAAAAGCAAACAAAAGCCTTTCAGCGGCCGCCGGCTCCCGTTCTTTTTGCCCTCGGGCGGTCCCCGCTCCGGGGAGCAGCAGCGGGCGTCAGAGCGCGTTCCGTCAGCCCGCGGGCAGAGTCGCCGCGCTCTCCGCGCAGGAAAGCGAGGGCTGCTCCCCCAGCCGTGCTGCCAGCAACCGCTCGCGGCGGCTCACGGCACGCCTGGGAGCTTTGCACGGCGCGGGGACGGGGCTCGGGAAGCGGACACGCACCTCTCCGGGTTGGGCTCGTTCTTCCGATCACGAGAGTGGCGAATCATTCTGCATTTCCCAATGACTGCATCCGGCCGAGATATGCCCATGCCTTTGAACACCAGCCTGCCAAAAGCAAGTCTGTTAAGTGACAGGGGGCAGAGAAGGGCTGTTCCAGCACCGCCACTGCCTGCTTTTCTCTGCTGCCGAGGGCTGTGTGTTTGCAGCTTTGCATTGGGAATGCAGACCTGCCAGCACCAGGCACCTGCTAAGCCACCCCACCCCAGGCAGCTCCGCCAGCATCGGGTGCCGACCTTGCCCCATGATTTGGGCTGGAATCTGAATGGGAGGCATCCAGTTCTTAACTGTCTGGACGGCAGCCAGCCGAGCATGCATCTTTCAAGACGTGGAAGCTGAAGTGCTGCGCTGGTAGAAAGCAAACCGAGTTGTGGTGAAACCACATGGGGAGGGGGCAGCCCATCAAACTGGTGTGCTCTCTACAGGGCACGTGCACATCATGGATGCCAGTGCTGGGAACGTGCTTGACTTCTTCCTTTCTGTATCTCCCTCCGTTTGTTTCTGTATAAGTCTTCCCACCCCTAGAAAGCCAAGTGCCTCAAAAGACAAGATACCACCTTCCTTGGTTTACTAGACAGCTGCAGGTCCCCAGCACTTCTGTTGAAGGAAGCTCTCCCTGAAGGTCAGGAGGGTTTGGAAAGCCCACAGAAAGGACCACGCAGGGTGTATCTCATAGTCCAAAGCTTCTCAAATCTGTGTTCCCATGATTATATCTCAAAGTGATTGCCCCATCGTCCTGGGAACAAAGATAGCAACCCCACAGACATCCCCTGCCTTCACCTTCAGGCGGAACCGGGCCCACCTGCCCTGTACTAAGACACCCCACTTCATCTGACATCCGGGCATTGCTCAGCCTTCCTCCCGATGGGAAGCAAAGGCTTCCAGCATTGGTTAGAGCTCCTTAAAACCTGACAGATGAATCCCTCCAGGGCACAAAGAGCCGCGCTGGCACTGTCAGGCTGCCACCTGCAGAGCCTTGGGATGGGTTCTGTGGCTGATGATCTTCTCCTCCCACTCCCACCATGCACCCCAAGCCCCCCTGAAGGCAGGTCCTGAGGGGTGGAGGTGCTCCAGCTGCAAGGTGGGCACCTTTACCTGTTGTAAATGTCATCGTCTTCGCCGCCCCAGCCCCAGTAATTGTTTGGGAACCCATTGATCTTTGTGAACTGTTCTTTGCTCAAGGCAGACACGCCTCCAAAATACTGATTGTAGGGTAACCTGGAATTAAGGAGAACACACCATTAGGGGTTGCAGTGACCTCTGCCCCAGCCCATGGTCCAGCCACCAACCCACCAGTGAGACCCACTGGGACCCAGATCTCGTCTGTTTCAGCAAGCAGACGTCTTGGGGCCCTTCTGCTCCAAGCTGCACCTGGCTGCAAGGAGAAAGCACAGGACTGCTGACAGTCTTGCACTGGGCGGGGTGTGGGTCTGGGCAGAGATAGGCTGGCCATGTGGGGCCAAACCCAACGCTCACTTAATAGATGAGTTTTTACACTCCCACATGGAGATCTGGCATGGAAAAAAAGAAAGGAAAGAAAAGCCACAGCTGTGTTGACAGCAGCCTGAGGAACACATGTGCTGGCAGGCACTCAAGTTTGGTTCTGCCCCCAGACACCAAGGCAGGTCCCTCTGTGGTCTGAAATGGAACAGCCAAAAATACTTCATTTTGCTCTCAAAATAACACCTGACAGCCTCTTCTAGCATCATGCATGGCCCTCACTGTATGAGAATGCCTCGCTTTCCAGGCTGGGCAGAAACAAGAGCCATCTGACACTCTGAAACACAAGAAGGGACGTGGGCAGCTGCAGGACGCCGGTCTCCCTGTTCCTCCCAGCCCTGTGTCTGCCTGTTCAGCCACTGTGCGTGGCAGCAGGTGGCTCTGCTTCACTCCCTGCTCCAAGCCACCCGCTCCCTGCAGCGACACGTGTGCCACAGCAGAATTTTCCAGAGATGTTTTCCCAGGCTTTCACTGGTAGGCAGGGATGTGCATTGCTGCACCCAGCCTACAATGATCATGGCAGCGTTAGGAAGGAAATGCCCCCCCAAAAGGCATCTCACCTAAATCCGAATTTATCCATGGAGACAGAAAGGTGCCTTGGTTGGCTGTAGCACTTGTAGGTGTTCCTGTCATCCATTGGGATCAGGTCTACATCGCTAAACACAAAGCACTCATAGTCATACTCCTTCAAAGCCTCCATGAATCCTATATTCAGCAGTTTAGCACGGTTAAATTCTTCATCTCCATCCTGGTTTAAAACAAATAAACACTGAATTAAGTAGTGGAAAACACCAGTCTCCTACCTGTTGTAGGGTTCACAGGCCCTTGGCATTGCTGGGAGGTGGCACTGATCTGGTTGCAGCTGTAGAGCAGCCACAGGGTCAGAGAAGTGGGCCCAGCGCTCTGCACAGAGGCATTTTGCAGCGCTTGCAGTGCCACACAGACGCAGCCAGCAAGTCACTGGGGTGCTCTCAGGTCCAGCAGTGGGGCCGTGCCCATGTGCACAGGGACAGTGGAGGGCCAGGACAGTTTGTCACCCAGCACAAGCCCTGACAGCAGCACCGAGCCCAAGCCCTGTGCAGGGAGCAGCACGAGGCATGCTGAAAGAGACGGGAGCTTTTTGCCAAAACCCAAACTGCCAGCCCTCCCTGCTCTACCACATCCAACCTCCCCCTCTCCACAGCTTCAAGCCATGTCAAGCAAAGGACTGCCTGCCATGCCTGGCTCCAGCAGCATGTGCATGCATGCATGAGAGTGTGCAAATCAGCTCCTCGCCCTTCTACAGGTCTGGTGTGGGACACAAATCAAGGACAGATAAAAATAAGACAGCAGCCTCAAGCATCACATTTACTTCCTCTCTTGAATGGCTCTGCTTGGTTAATAAATAATCTGTTTGGAAACTGATTAATCCAAACTGGTTAATGGCTGTGCAGCCTGAAAGCCAAAAATTTAACCATAAAACAGTTACAAGTATCTTTCACAAGAAGGATTTACCATGCTAGTGTCAAACCACAGCTTTCAAAAGCTTTCATTGTCCGCCTGGGGCCTAAATGACTTCACAGGGAGAAGTGAACTTCAGTGGGGGAGGATCTGAGCCAGTTCTCAGCACCCTCACCTGAAATAAAAGGGCTCGTGCCTTTACCAAGGCGGTGGGAAGCTGATCTCCATCATGCATAAACAACATCTGTGAAAACTTGAGCACAGAAGGCAAAGGAAAGCTGAACAAAGGGGATGGGGAGAGGGAGCGGCTACAGCTGTGGGAACAGAGGTTTGGTCTGCGGGCAAAGGGGCTGCAGAGCTCACGCACAGCCTGCCCTGCAGCTGGGGCTCACAGCTGGCACAGCCAGGGTAGCCAGGAGTACTGACCCAGTGACAGGGAACACTTTGGGCCACGCCAGAAGCTGGGCCTCAGAAGCAATGCTCAGAGGCTCTCCTGCACCAGGAGCTGAGCTTGCTCATTTCGTCTTTAGCTGCTCTTCTCATCACACCACTTCAAGGCAAAGAGAGTGCTCCACGTTGGTTTTATGATCAGCAGAGGCTCAGCCTCATTTAACCCTGCCTCCAGGTGGCCTCTAACTCACCCAGGAGATACACAGGGATTAATAATTCTACCAGAAGCTGCACTTTCACATCTCTTGACACCACGCAAGGGGTTTTGCTTTTTGGAGAAAGCCGTTTCGTAACCAAGACAGTTCAGAAGCATCAGCATCTCTGCAGTCTGTGGGATTCAAATCTCTCCAAACTCCGAGCGGTTTTGCAGGTTTCCGACTCCGACTGACTCCCAGCTTTGTGGCAGGAGACCTTTCTAGGCAGCTGCCCCATGCAGGTGGTGCAGGACATGGCACCACTGGTGACAGAAGAGCAAGTGAAGCAGAACAGAAGCAACATCCATCCCTGGCCTCGCTTGGCAGCTCCATGTACTATAGGTGCTCCTGCTCTCTGCCACATGGGAGGGGACCTGTTTGGACACCTTTTGGCCAAGAAGCATTGCCCTGAAGAACCGTGCAGCAGACGGAGGACTGCTGCTCCAACACTGCAGACAGCTCCAAGCATAGCCCCCGCTATTTATTACTTATTTCCTGGGCTTTCAACAAGAAAAGATGCAGTGCAAGCGTGTTTCTGCTGACTAGTTTTTCCTGGACAAATTTCTCCTTGTGATTTCCCTCCTCAGAACTCAACCCACATCAGAAGCCATCGCTTGTGCCCAGCACCAGTGGCTTTACTCCCTGTGTCTCTGCCAGTACATACAAACTTGTCTCAGTCACTGATCCATGAGATCCTTGAGGCCAGCTGCCTCAACCTCACAGAGCAGCACTGGCTGCTGCTCACACACGCAGAGGATCAGCCCTGGGAGAACAGCAGCCAGCTTACTCCCATCGCTCACCTTTGCTGGACCCGGTCTGCTCAGCCAAACTCACCTAAGGACACTGCTGCCTTGTTTCAGTATCAGTCACATCAGTGTACAGAACTGCCACTTGTGCTAACAGGCTCCCAAACCAGCGAGGTGCCATCTGAATGGTAGATTCACCCCAGTTTCATCCTGGTTTGTGCTCTGAGGTAGGAGACAGCTCTGTGATACCTGCTGCAGTTACAAAGCAGGGTGGAGGACCTGGGGATGCACTTCCTTCATCGTAATTCTGATGAACCTGATGAGTCTAAGGCAGGTGATGGCAAGGATGTGTTTTTGGTAGGCTATGAGGGAGCCATCACCCCCCTCAGGAGGCTGTCAGCCAAGTCAGGGATCCTCCAAGCCCATGTGATCCACACACATGCGATGCGCACATGGGCATCCACGCACCAGTCTTGTTTGAGCAGGTGGAAATAGATTTCCAGGGCCACAGGAAACTGCCGAGAAAACCCTTGCTGCTTCTCTGCTGGGGTTTTCTGAAGTGCTGTGCACTCTTCGCACGGCAGCATGATCCATCTCTGCCCTGCACAGGAAAGGCAGACTCCTGCACCCCTATACCAGGCACAAGAAGAGAACAGCTGCAGGAAAACCTGACCAGGGCTGGGCAGGAGCCGAGCACTGCTCCCTCTGTGCTCCACACCTGGGGAGCTCTGGTGCACCCTGCAAAATGACATGGATGAGCACAAAGCCCCCCCACACACAGACACACACACACACACATCCTCTCTGGAAAACTGCTAAGAAGGACACTACAGCTAAGGCCAGTGCAAAGTGGTTGGATAACTGGAGCTTGTGTCAGGTTTGGGTTATGCAGCAGTTGCACAATAACACATTTTCCACTGGCTCCTGTTACACACTGGGCATCTCAGAAACATTGCTCTGGCTTCAGCCAAACCCTACTCTGAGACATTCAGGCACACGGGGCCATTGTGGCAGAGACACAACGGGCTCAGGACAGAAACGCGTTGCTCCGAAAGGAAGAAGTTTGACATTACCAGTGCAGCAGTAGCAGGGCTCAAGCGCTCCTCTTTCTTTTTATGAGATGCAGAGGACAGAAGAGCACGTAGGCAGCGTGTAAGAATCAGATCACACAGTAATTCTCCTTGCTTCAGTGATTGCTTTGCTATAGACAGGATTAACAAGTAAAGGTAATATTTCCCCACTAGAAGGAAAAAAAAAAAAACAAACACAAAGGAGGGCAGATGCAAAGGGAAGGACAGACAAGAAAAAGAGAAAAGCAATTGTCAAGACAGCAGAGAAATAAGACTGTTTTCCTACCGTAATTCTGGCAGAATTAACTCATTTTCTGCAAATCTCTCCATTCCACGTTCCCGCTCACCCTTGAGACACACATCCAGCACTTTTACTGCTTCTGATTCTGCTGCCTCTCCCAAACATGAATGACTTTTCAGAGGCACGCAGGAGTGTGTTTACTTTGCAAATCCAGCAGCCTTGCTTGCTAACCTGCATCTGACCACAGATGCGTCCAGAACTCACACATCCAGTGTGCTAAAAGTTGCTCCCACTCCAGCTTTGCCCAAGGGATGCATTTGAAAAGAACATTTGCTTAAACCCACTCTGCAAAGGTTTGCTTCAGAGAGCGCCGACGGCCCCGCGGGCGCAGCATCAGATGAGCCATAGGGCAGGGCAGTGCAAGCCCCATGACACCAGCGCGGCACTGCGGGATCCGGTTGCTTTCTGAGCTCTCCAAGCCCCAGAGATGCCACCAGCTCCCTTTGAGCAGCTGGCCCCGGGCTGCCAGCATCTCCTCCTGGTGTTCCAGGGAAGCTGCTGGCAGGCTCTGGTTCATTGAGATGGCCACTGCAGGGACTGCCATCCCAGCACATCCTCACGGCCGAGCAGCACCGTGCCCCGGGCAGACCTGCCAGATCAGGGGGATTGGGATGGCCAATGCACCCAGACACGTTGGCTGATCCAAAAACTGTGGGAGGTACGTGTAAAGGAGACATGTTACTTCTCGGTGCTGTGAAATGGGCTCAAATAGGGCAGAAGAACCTGCTGGAGAGGGCAGCGGTGCTGGGAGCTGCCCACCCCACGGGCTCTGCAGATCAACAGAGCTGTGCTGCCCTGCCACACCACAGCCCACACAACTGCCCGCATGTCCTCAGCTTTCCAACACCCAGTTATCTAACCACCACTGTGGTATTAACTAGGACTGAAGCGCTCTGGAGTGAAACGTACCCTTTTTTCTCTTTAAGAAAGGTCTATGACTCCCAGATATTAAAAGGAAAAGAAAAAAAAAGAGAACAAAAAGCCAAAACCCAGAACTCCAGCAATTGTTCCTTTTCTGCTGTTTCCCCCCCAGACGGCCACTTACCTGCTGCACCACAGCACCCTTGTTTTGTCCATCCTGACACTCTGTGTGCTATTACTAACGTGAGCAAAAGCTGCTCAAAGGACTGAGTGAAATCCTACACCTTTACACCATTCCCAGGATTAGGTATTAATGCTGCCTGGTCACCTTAAAGATCTCTGCATGCAATTCCTGAGGCAGATGTGAGAGAGGAACACTTCATTTGGGTTGTGCAACTAGGAATTCTTTTCCTCCTGAACAATTAGAACCTCTTCAGGGTAAGCCAGGCTGCATGGGAGCAAAACACCCCACGTTTTCCATCAAAACCACCAAAGAAACATTGCTCCCATTCCATTTGTTGTGCTTCAGCTTCGTTTTTACAGCATCTCTATCCCTGCCCACCAGCCCACTGACACTCAGGATAGAGCAGCCACTCCTCTGTTCCAGGGGGCACTGCCATAAGTGTTAAAAGCCTCCCGTGCTCAGCATCTTACCTGGTTGATGACATACACTCCATAGTCTAGCTGCTGCCTTTGAAGAATCGGGTGCATGTAGTAGAGCCAGTACTTCAGATGCTCCTCTCGGTTTCGGAACGGGATGATGATTGCTACTTTCTGCAGAGCCCTGCAGTGCTTTGGAGCAAAACGACCTCCTTCCCTGACCTCAGGGTTTGTGCTCGCCACCTCCTCCAGGTTCACAGGCTGGGAGAACTCCACGCGCAGCGGTCCAACTGGAAGGAAGGCACAGCACAAAGCCAGTTAGCACATCCTGACGGCCACGCACCAGTTATTTCTCTGGGCACGCATTCTTAGTGTGCAGGCATTCGTTATTACTTTTAAACACGCGTTTGGATCCAAAGGAAATCCCACTGATGCGTGGAGGTGTGAAGCTGGGGCCCGCTGCATCCAAAGCAACCACACCTCAGCACTCAGGGCAAGCCTGCAAATGCTCAGTCCTGTGGTGCCAGACCCCAATGGACCCACAGAAGCTTGGTGGTTCCCAAAAACCCTCCTGTCTGCACTGCAGCCACACAGCCATGCTCTCTCCAGCAGTATCCTGGGGGGCAGAAAGGGGAGTGCTGCCCTCACATCATGCAGTGCAAGAACCAGGCACTTGGGATACAGCCCTGCTCTCCTGCCGACAGAGCAGATCACGCCGAAGCCGGCCACGTGCACAGCAAACAAAACCCCCTTTTGTTGTTTTTTCCTCACAGATACTTTCAGTGTTCTGCCACTGTGCCCATTACTTATGCCTTGTTAAAAATAAAATTTAAAATGTACCCAAATTTGCATGCAGGTTGGCAGTTCCCACACTCAGTTTCAACAGTGGCAGTTTTGAAACTGCCAGATCAATCTGTGCCAAAGCCAGCGTGTACAACTGAGAACCACTTGCAGCACACACACAGCAGCTCCTGGGATGCCCGATCTCCCACAGCGGTGGAGAAACTCCAGGTCCAACACGCAACTCCAGTAGCCCCACAACACACCACTCTCCACAAAAAGGTAGTTTATCACTGGTGACCCCCAACAGTGACCCTGTGGCAGTGGGAGACACAGCGTTGGGAGGAATCTGGGCAGGAGGGACGGCGGGTTACAAGGCATCACAGCCCTCCGTGCCTCCTGCAGAGCAGCGATGGCCCCAGCAGCAGCAGCGTGCTCCCCAGCCAAGCACACAGCAGCTGTGCCCAGGGCGGGTGCAGCAGGGGGACAAATGCTGCACGGCTTGGCTGAGCGGTACCGGATCTCCCCCTGGCTCACCTGGAGCAGGAGAGCCTTTCCTCACCTTGTCCAACTGGCTGCAGAAAGGAAAGGATGGGCAACAAAACGCAGTCGTGACGAGCACTAGATGCAGAAGATAGAATTAGCGGGCTTGGAGGCTGGAAAAGAGGCTGATGAGAAATTACCTGTAGTGCTCCCTTCCTCATCTCAATGAAATCAACTTTAAATATATGTTCCAGTCAGCACTGCCACAACAACCAAGGCAGCGAGCGCTCCTCAACTACAGTTTTTGCTGCTCTAGCACTAAGGCAGCTGCTTCTAAAGTCAGTGGGTGCAAAGCACCCGGCCAATACACTTCACTGGTGTCAGCAGGAACAGCAAAATATGAAAGTCTGGGTGAGTTATCTTCAAATACGGAATGGCTGTAACGAACAGGCCTGCAACTCACAAAGCCACACACTGACAAAGAGCAGCAGCAAAATGCCACCCACACAAACTGATGCTGTCCACTCCTTATTTATTGGGACAAGCATTAAACTAAAGGTGCACGTACCCTGCACCTCCAGCAGTGAGCAGAGCCCTGCTCCAGTCTCGTTTCAAACCATTTTGGCTGCACTTTGGCCACCTGGGCAGTGAGAGTCCCTGAGGCCAGCGTTGCCCAACGACTCTGACCCAGGGCAAGAACCATGCCAGGAAAACACACAAAGTTTGTTGTGGCTGCTGTCCCATCAGCTAATGCTGCACCTGTGTGTGCTCACCATGTCGACTTTCCAGCCTGCTTCTCTTCCTTCAGACTCTTCTGCTTCACTTCCAGATGCCTGCCTGACAATGGAGTTGCTGCTGTAAGCTGAGTCTCAGTCAAAGGCACACGTGTGACAGAGCAGTGTGGACATGCAATCCCAGCCACACGTGTAGCCCAGGGCTTGTAGGCGGGCATCTCTGGGATTCACAGTCGCACCGCTCCATCACAGCACCTTCATTTCCACCCAGCCTTGCTGCACATTTTTAGCTAAAGAACACCTAGAAAACTTGAATAAGCAACTGCCAGAAGTTGGCAGAAGATCCAAAAGCACCACCTACCTACCATCCAAACAGCTCAGCAATTGCTAAAGGAGGATTTAAGAAGCCATGGTTGGGCAAGAGAGGGAGATAAAAAAAAAAAAGCAACAAAACAAGAAATCAGCTATGCCATCATCCCGTCCCTCCCCCACTTCCCTCCGCCCCAATGTCTCTCACTGAAACATTTCTGCTCGGCTTCAGACAAAAGGTGCACAGGAAAAGCCCTGCGCAGGCACAGACAGCAGAGGAGCCAGTGTGGTTCGTACAAACAGGAAACAGGTTTTCAAATGAAGCAAAAGGTGAGGCTTGCAAAAAGCTGCAGGGAACAAAGCAGTCAAGTGCACCTCAGCAATGCAATGTATCCTCCATATTCCCCACCACTACATGGCCAAGTGTGCCACAACAACCAAAACTGCAGCTGTAGAGGCTGCCCGTACAACTCCTCAGCAGTGCTCGCCCTGCTAACCCACGGGGCTGCCACAGGACCCTTGCAAAAGACCACGACCTGCTCAACTTAATGCTGTCATCAGTCTAACAGCTGTCCTGACCTCTCTCCTTGGGACACAAATGCCAGAAACGTGGGGAAAACTGGAGCGGCAACACCCTGCAGAGCTGCCCCGGTGCCTGCAGGAGGGGGGAGCCCCAAAGGTCTCAGGATGCAGCAGAGTGGGCACGGTGTCAGCGGCCCTGCAGTCTGGAGATAGTGCTGAATGGCTCCTCTGGATAAACCAGCAAAGCTCACCCACGTGGCTCAGGGTGGGCACAGATCTCAGATGGGAGATCAGAGGGAGTGGAAACAAAAGTTCCTAGTGGGAAGGCTTGAAACGTGCTGCACACAGTGGGTGGGCAAGAAGGATTCTGACACCCCGGCAGAAAGCAACGCGCTCTGCTGCTGCCGAGACACGTGCACGCATGTGCTGCCAGGGCAGGCGAGCCTGTGCAGGAGGAAAGCTGGAAAAAGGAAGCAGCACTCGCACAGAGAAACAAAAAAGCCTCTTTGCAGGGCCTGAACAGAAAAGGGAAGAGCTGCTGACCGCGCCAACCCATTTCTTGCTGGGAAAAACAAAATGAGCCCCACCCCAGAAAGCTGGGCCAAGCCTTAGCTACAGGCGGGGGAGCAGAAGACACTGCAGACCCCAAACCCACAGGGCAGGCGTTGGCTGTGTCCCACAGCACAGGGGAGCAGGCCACGGATGGGTGCAAGCTCGCTCCTTCCGCCAAGGGCAGCATCAAATCTGTCTGCAGGTATGCTGGAGGGGAAAAAATGAGAACAGCTTCCCATCCCACAGGATTTGCTTCCTTCGGCCAGCCTCTTCTCGCAGAGCATCCCCTCGCAGAAGTCCCTCTGCCGGTGTAAGGCCTGAGCCTGGAAGCTCAGCACATGCCCTCACCCATCCACCCCATGGGCCCCAGGAGGAAATGGGCTGAAAAATACAAGGGATTGCCACACACGTTGGCAGCAGCTGGTGTGCGCAACAGCGAGTTTATAGGATCAACCCTGCAACAGTTATTCAGAGCAAAAGTTACAAACCCAGCAACAAATGACACCTACTCCGATACAAGGTCTCGCACTGACGTACAATATCTTTGAGTAAGAGAAAATATTGTCTTTTCCGCCAGTAAGTACTCAGGGGAGAGAAGCAAAGCCCTGGGAGATGGCCGCAGCCCAGCACACGCTCTGCGCAGTGGCTGTGCACCCCTCCCCCTGAGCAGGGCAGCCTGCACGCGATCGGCCTCACTTGCACTGGCACTTGCTGCGGGCTGCCACTGCAAAATTAAATTCCAGGCCCTTGAACTGAAAACTCTAAACAAACAAGCAGAGAGACTTCCCTGGCTGCTTCAATCAGAAAAAAAAGCCGATCTGCCTCTGCCAGGAAAACCCCACCCTGATGCAAGACGCATGAGCAGACAGACGGATCGAGACCTCCCCGACAGACAGAGCCAGCAGCAGCTCCTGCCCCGACCCTGTAGCCCTGTCCCGTGCCCTCCAGCCTGGCTGCAGCTGGAGCTCCAAGGAGGGAGGCAGGCTGGCTGGCAGGGCAAGGTGGAGAGGAGCAGAAAGCTGCAGGGCCTGGGGCTGCCCCGAGCTCTGGAGAACAAGCACTGCTGGGAGGCAGCTGGAAAAGTTGCTGCAGCTCCATTGGCCATGTCTCACTGCACTGAGGAAGAGGTGGCTGCCGGGAGGGCCATAAAGCCCCTCCACCTCACAAAGCCAGGCCTCGGAGCTCCAGGCTGGGCCAGGAACTGAGGGCTCAGGCAAGCTTGCATCCTAACGCAGCTTGGGAAGCTGCAAGTCTTTGCATCTTTCCAAGCATAACTTGGCCCAGTTTCCAAGAAAACTTACTCTTGCCCCAGATCTGTGCTGGCAGGGAAATGAGCACGTTACAAAACACGGGATGCACAAAATGGAAAGCCTCCTCATCTCGCCTGCGCACCCCAGTTGCTGTGCCACGTCCCCAGAATGAGGACAACCACCCTTCCAAGACCTTTCCAGCCTAAGAAACAATCCAAACCATTCCCCAAAGTGACGCCAGGCTAGGGACATCCAACTGCTCCGTGCCAGCAGAGAGACACAGCCCTGCTCCACACGGAGCTCCCCTGGCTGCCTCTGATGCCCCAGCTGGTGGGAGCCAGGCCTCAGTGCACACCGGATGGAGCCCAGCCAGGCCTGCTGCATGCCAACTGGCACTGCCACCACCTGGAGATGCAGAATATCCACCCACAGGCTTCCACACTCAGCTGTGGAAGAGGATCTGCTGGCGTCCTCTATCTGCATCACCCACAGACACAGACACAGCAGGCTGTGCTGCAATCTGGCTGCTCCCAGGGCCAGCAGCTGCTCCCACACTCCTTCCCCCTGGCCACGCTGCTCACAGAGGTGCCTTGCCGACAGTGGGAAGCACCCTTTTTGCTCAGAATGGTGACTGCTGGGAGAAACAGCTGGAATTTTTGTCTCTCTGTTGTCAATACTGCATAATTACTTCAGTGTGGGGCTGCCATGTCTTCTAAACTTGTATCTGGGGCAGAAAGCCATACAGCAAGACGTAGCTCCGTGGCACGGCACGCTCAGGGCTCCTGGGTTGTCTTTGCTCCCAGGGCTGCAAGTGACACCTCTTTGCCTGCCACCCCTCGGCCAACCACACCTGGTATCTAACTGCGGTCAGAAAGGGCCCAGGTGACAGCTGTGGGCAAAAACAGCTCCATAAACAACACGTGCTCTGGGCCAAGCAGGACTTGAAAATGACATCCCTGAGACACCAAGAGGCCCGTCTGTGAGAGTCTGCTCTGCAGGCATCTGGCACCAAAAGATAAGCAAGCGCTGCTTTTGGATGAGCTCTTCTACGAGGTGATGCTGCTGCCAAAGCAGCTGGCCCCTTCCTCCCTCCATCCTACATGATAACAGCACCAGCACCGAAACAAAGGCCTGGAGGCAAAGCAAGAAATCATTTAACTTCTTTGAAGGCATGTCAGCCCGCACAGACTAGTCCTGCTGAGCAGCATTTATATTCTTCTTGAAATAATGTTATTCTGGATAAAGAATACTGATAAAGAACACACCAGTTTGGGGAATGATCACCTCCAGAACAAAGATGGGCTTCCTTTTGCCTTTCAGGCTTCTCACAGGCAGCTCTCAGCTGCAGCATAAATCCAGAACACTTTGGGAACGTCTAATCCAAAACTTACCGCATTACTTTCCCAGCCCTAGTCTATGCTTTCAAGTTACAAGTAATGGGAAGTGAACCATAAAGGCATATTAAATTCACAGGATCTCTCAGCGATTACACTTCATTCAGGTCATGCATTTGCCCAGTAGCCAGACAGCAGGGACGCTGGGTTCTCACCCTGAGCATCACCAGAGAGAAGCAGCCAGGCTGCTGGCAGCAGTGTGTCTCTGGCTGCTCAGGAAGGCCAAGCAGCTCGGTCACACTTACCCTGCATGATTCATCACATGTCGTCCAGTGAGGGAGGGAAGAGAAAGAAGAGGAAATCCAAGAAGGAGGTGCTGGAAGAACGAGGCCACAGAGCCCCAGCTCACGTCAGAGCAGCGCCCTACGGCTTTGGGAAGGTAGGGATGCCAAGAAGATGAGAAATGCCTGTGGACAGGACACCATTACAGTGCCATGCTGATCACAGAGACATGAGCAGATCATCAGAACACAGAACTCTGACCGATAAGAGGCACAGCAGGCTGTTTTACAAATGTGATTTGCTGCCAGAATCAGAACCTGAACGAAGCAACCATACATGCAGTACTGCAAAGCAGTCGGGTTCCTCAATAACACGCTGGCTGCAGACCTGAGAACCACATGGGTGTCACACCTACACCTGAGCACACCTCTGGAACTGGGGCTGCTGGAAACCATTGGATCCTGCACCACAAGGACCCTACAGCTCTGAACAACTGCAACCACCGCCCACAGCCTTACTGGGCCTCTTGTATGGTGCGTGTGTTGCACTGAAAGGAACACAGAGGTGGTGTAGAATCAAGGAATCATTCTATCGCTGAGGTTGGGAAAGAAGACCATCAGGTGTAACCACTGACCCATCAGCCCCATGCCCACTAATTAGGTCCCTCACAGCCACGCCTCCACATTTCTGGAACAGGTCTGGGAACAGTGACCCTGTGCATTCAGCTGACCGTCCGGACACTGATCCGACAATGCTCTGAGTCCTGGGGACGGCAACTCTCCCAGCTTCCAGCACTTCAGAGTGGCCGGGAGGACCGTGGCGAGCGAAGATCGCTCAGAGCAAATCGCTTCAAAGGGGCAGCACACCCCCGCGTGCGGCCCGACTGCACAAAGCAATTGAAGGGGAAAAGTGAAAGACACGAATCAAAATCAGCAGGAAAAAAAGAAACAAAAACCAACAACAACACAGTCCCTTTTAACGACCTCAAAACCGCCTTCTCGAAACAACCCCGTCATTTGCTATTCAGATGCTTCGATGCAGCTGACCAGCGAGCACCGAGTGAAACTCCGAATTTCGGCGACGGTTTCGCTAACAGAAAACCACAGGGAACTTCTCGAAAGTCTCTTCTACCCGCTGCGATCCCATAAGCGCGCGGCGGGGCGCGGTGCTGCCCACCCTCCATGTGCAGAGGCACAACCGGCGGGACGCCACGTATCGGAACGCCGCACCGCGGGTCCCCCTGTGCGGGGAGCGCCGCTCGGACCCCGCCCCGCGCGCAGCCCCTCCGCTCCCTCCGAGAAGCGAGCGCTGCTTGCGGCGGAGCCTCGGGGAAAGCGGAGGATGCTCGACGCAGCCGCGGCGCAGTACCCGGAGGGGGTCGGGCGCAGGAAGCCGCGCCGCGCCCCGGGCAGCCCCCACCCGTCCGCCCGCCCGGCGCGCTCCCGAGCCGTCGGGGCCCCGTCGTCGAGAGGCTCCGGGGCTACGCTGTCACGGCCCGCGGAGGAGCGGGGGGCGGCACTCACCGAGCAGCGGGGACGGGTCGGGGCACGGCCCCGGCGCCGCCGAGTCCGGGCGGGTGTCGGACTGCGCCGAGACGGGCCGGGGCCGGGCGGCGAGCTGCGGCGGACGGGAGGGCGGCAGCGAGAGGTTGGCGGGCGGCGGGCGGCGCGGAGGCGGCTCGGGACTGCGCGGCGGCGCCATGGAGCTGCCCGCCAGGTAGTAGAGCAGCGTGGCCGAGAGGTGCAGCGCGCAGAAGGCAACGAGGAGGCGGCAGGCCCGCTGCAGCGAGGTGCCGGGCAGCGCCGACTCCTTCATGCCGCCGCGCTGACGGGGACCGCCGCGCGCCCCGCGCCGCCGCCGGGGACGGGATGGAGTCGGGGCGGGTGCGGCGGTGGCTCCGCCCGCTGGGGGCGGCCCCGGGCCCCGCCCGCAGTCTCTGCCTCAGCGCATCCTCGCGACCCGCGGGGGGCGGTGTTGGGCCGGCGGGAGCCCATCCGCTCCGTGGTCCCGCTGCCCCCGGCCCCGCGTGTCTTCTCCCGGGTAACAGCGGTGGGTCTACGGGGAGAGGGCTCAGGTTGCACCGGGGGCGTTCAGGTTGAATGTCGGGAACGGCGAAGCGTTGGTGCGGGCTGACCGCGGATGTGGTGCGGTCACCACGCTGCTCTCAAGCCCCTCGGAGATGCGGCACTGAGGGACATAAACAGTGGGCGAGATGAGGTGAGCTGGAGTTGGACTGGCTGATCGTAGCGGTCTTTTCCAACCTCTGTGATTCAGTGATTCTATGAAAAGCAGCAGGACGTGATCTCAGTGATGCTGTGCTGACAGAGGCAAAATAGGAAGAGAATGCCTGCTGCCTCAGTGAGTCATTGTGGAGGCTGCACCCGTCTGTAAAACATGAAGTGGTGTGCCATCTCCAGGAGCAGTCTGGAATCAGTACAGTCCAACTTGCTTGGGACAGAGGAGTTACGTTTATCTGGCACAACAAGGAGATCAGATCTCAGCATCAGGCCTTTGACACGGTCCCCCTCCACATCCCTATCTCCAAGTTGGAGGGATGTGGATTGGATGGCTGGATCACTCGATGGATAAGAAACTGGTTGAAAGGCTGCAGACAGAGGGTGGTGATCCATGGTTCTGTGTCCAGGTGGAGGCCAGTAATGAGTGGCATCCCCCAGGGCTCTGTCTTGGGACCAGTGGTCTGTAACATCTTTATCAATGACAGCAATGGCGGAATCAAGTGCTCCCTCAGCAATTTGCTGACGACACCAAGCTGAGTGGTGTGGTCGACACGGCTGAAGGAATGGAGGCCATTCAGAGGGACCTCGAGAGCCTGGAAAAGTGGGAACAGGTGAACCTGATGAGGTTGAACACAGCAAAGGGCAGAGTTTTGCACCAGAGGAATCCCAGGCATCCATACAGACTGGAAGGAGCGGTGCTTGAGAGCAGCCCTGCAGAGAAGGACCTGGGGGTCTTGATGGATGAAACACAGAATGTGAGCCAGCAGTGTGCCCTTGTGGCTCGGAAGGCAAATGGTGTCCTGGGCTCCATCAGAAGAGGAGCGGCCAGCAGGGACAGGGAGGTGATCGTCCCCATCTGCTCTGCTCTTGTGAGGCCCCATCTGCAGCGCTGCGTCCAGGGTTGGAGCCCCCAATATCAGAAATATCAGGGAACTGTTGGAGAGGGTCCAGAGGAGCCACAAAGATGAGCAGGGGCTGCAGCACCTCCACTACGAAGACAGGCTGAGGAAGCTGGGCTCGTTTAGCATGGAGAAGAGAAGCTGCGGGGTGACCTCATGGCAGCCTTCAGGACCTAAAGGGAGCCTACAGACAGGAGGGGAGTCAGCTCTTGGAAAGGGGAGATAACAGCAGGACAAGGGGAAATGGTTTGAAGTGAAGGGAGGGCAGCTGGAGGTTGGGTGTCAGGGGGAAGTTGTGTGCTGTGAGAGTGGTGAGGTGCTGGAACAGCTGCCCAGAGAGGCTGTGATGCCCCGTCCATCCCTGGAGGTGTTCAAGGCCAGGTTGGATGGGGCCCTGGGCAGCCTGGGCTGCTGTGAAATGGGGAGGTTGGTGGCCCTGCATTGGTGGGGGGTTGGAGATTTGTGATCCTTGAGGTCCTTCCAGCTCTGGCCATTCTGTGATTCTGTGATTCTATCTCCTTGATCTTCCCGAGTGACTCCCAGTCACTGCTTGAAAGTGCCTCTGCACTTGTGCCGCAAGAGGCTCAAGGAGAAACAGTTGAGGTACATGACCACAGGCTCCTGCCTCCTCTATTTTCTCTTTTCTTACACATTTCTTTCTGATACCTTCTGGAAGCCAGCCCGATAATTACCATATGGTTTGGTTGAACCTGGTGTTGTCAGCACCAAGATGATGAAGCAGCTGCCTAAGACACTAGTGCTGTCACTGCTGATGTTCTCAGCCATCATTCAACTAAGCACCTTCTCAAGTGAGCAAGCCAGGCTTTCAAAGCCTGCAGACCCTCTGGACATCTCTCATGGATTGATCAGCAGAAGGCAGCTCTGGCAACACAAATGAGCAGAGAAACCATTTTTCAGCACTTGCAGGTCAGTCTAGAGTTTCCACACTCCACTGCTATCAGGAGATACCAGATGCCTGCTAGTAAAATGTGTCTTTTGTTTCTTTCCTATTTGACATGGGTACTTGCAGGGAATCTTCCTGAGGTGCAATGACCTCAACTGTGATTCAAGGCAGAGTTGGTTTGATTTCCCATAATGCTTTAAATACGTCATGCCTTAAGTTGAGCAAGCAAAGGAAAAGAAGTCACAGCATGCTGCTGGGAACTGATGTCACAAAGTTGGGAAGTGTCTAATATGTAATTCCACGTATTTGTGCTGCAGGTAGCCTATATCACTGCTATCTTTTCCTCAAGACAACTGTCTTGCTCTTGCTGAACATGGCTTTGGAAGCAAGGCAAAGGTTAAAGATGTAAAAGTACTCTGTAACAGCCTGAATCAATTCTATTATGCATAATTCAGGTGTGTCCTCGTGAGCACATGAGTAAATATGAGTATATACAGGTAAGTACGTAATGGCACACCTTCTTTTTTAGCACAGAGATAAGATGTTCTAGAAAACAGAGAATAAGGAAACAGAAATGCATTATTTATGGGAAAAATGTGTGCATGCATACACACCCTTAGGTGCTCCTACACTTCTGCCCTCTCCAGCTGCTGACTGTGGCTATCTCTACCCCAGCACAGCGTAATAAAAGTCCTCAGAGCTCTCACTTTGCCACATCACCAAATCAGCTTCCGGCTCCCCAGCTTCACTGGAGTGATGGTGCTCAAGGTAATTTTTAGCCTTATTTCCCTTTACAAATAGCTGCTGTGTAGCTACAGTGTCGTGCTGCACATGAGCACATCTGCAAGTCCACCATGCCTAATGACTTCTAAGTTTGATTTTAATCAAAATTGGCAGTTGGATGGCATCATAAATATCCAAACTGAGTGCTGAAGCAAGCCACTACGATGGCGCTGAGTGAAAGTTGATTGAAGGAGGTTTGCAGTCAGGCAGCAAATTATGAGGAGGAGGAGGAGGACAGGTGCCAGAGAGGGCGACTGCAGGCAGTTCAGTGATGGGATTCAGTAGGTCAGGTTGATGGTTGGATTTAAAACACAGGCACCTTCCTGTGTGCTTCCATGTTTCCCCAGGGCAGGGCAGAACAGAGCATGTCCGGGTGCACCTCTAGGACAGCAGCATGGAGCCCTGGTGCTGCGACCCCACTCCTCACTGCTGCAGCTGTGTGGGCTGCAGAGCTGCTCTGCTGCAGGGCTGGGAGGAGGCTGGGAAGAGTTGAGCTGAGCTGTGGGACAGGCATCAGGCGAGGCAGGCAGACAGCAAAGGGACAAGACGCAGAGGTGTGAAAAGCAACATCTAGCTGTCCTTTGCGAGAAGCCCAAAAGAGTCAAACCAAGACCTGCCTTGTCACTCATCATTCATTAATAGCAGTCTACTGCATTATTAACCTGGATAGTTCCTTTATCCGGGATGTTTGTAGAATCAGGCACCATGACTGAGTCTGGTGCAACCAAAATACATTTCACAGGGCTCATGAAAGCCTGGCTGCAAATCCAGCCCGGGTTGGGTAGGTGTTGCACAGCTCCTTGTCAAGCTTATCTTCTGTTTTGGATGGCTGCTGCTGCAGTGCTTCCTATAGCATACAGCTCCAATTGCATGTTACAGCAGTCCGAATATAAATTCATTACAAGAATACTTGTCATTTTCACTACTGTATTTCTTGTTTATCCACTACATTAGCTCCTGTGGCTGAGAGCAGAGAGCATTGTCCAGAGGTGCCAGGGCCTGACCACGCCATTGAGTGGCTTATTTTCTGGAGCATAAAATGGGATGTGGTTTGGTGCTACTGTTGACTTCATTTTGCCACGCATTTTTCACAAAGGAGAAATGTTGCATTAGCATCCGGATCCTCAAAAATAAGCTGTTTGCAGTGCTTACAGTACTGCTCTGATCCATCAGTATGGATGTAGTTGTCCGTAGTGCAAAGACAGTAATAAAAAAAAAAGACAGGAATCAACTGAGAATGTTGCTGTCTCGGCACAACTGACTGCAAACAACAAAGTTCACTCTTCACCTTTTAAGAGGAACAGAAACCAAAAGCTGCAGGAAAGACTGGAGAAACAGAACGGCTTTCACTGTGATGACAATGCTCTTCTGTCTGATGCCATGTGAGGTGGCTGCCCCTGGGTGTTTGTGAGTACATACCCAAGGATTTGGACATACATCACTCTTGTGGGACCATGGGAAAAGGAAGGCCAGCATCACCTCTGAGCTGCTGAGGAACCGCAGGAAAGCTGCAAATCCCCTGGGCAAATCTGACCTCCTTGGCCAGTTGTTCCTTGCCACAGAGGTATCCCAGGGAAGCGGGACCAAGAGCAGCTTGGGTGTGAGCCACAGCCACTTCTGACCAGCTGTGGTGATTCTGGTGAGCAGTCAAAGCAGAGGAAAAGGTTCAGCAATGGATGCTGTCCCCAGCCTGCCTCTTCCCAGCTCCTGTGCCTCTGAGGTCCAGTGCATAGCCAGCTCCAGTGGGAGTACTAAAGATGAAGGTGACTGTGAAGGTGAAGTGCTCTTTTTTTCCTTTCTAACTTTCTTTCTGGCATGATGGGGGCATGTGCTCTGTACCCCTCATGGGTTGCAGGAACAGGGCAGCCCTCAGTCCTGGTGGGTCCCCAGCATTTGCTGAGGGTAAATTTGCAAGAGCACCAGGGGGAGCAGCAGGACAGGATTTAAAATCCTGCGAGTGAGGCAGAGCAGAACGTGAGAGCAGGTATGAAGGCAACAGATAACAAAGGAACTGCAGGTGCTGGGCAGAGCGGTGACAACACTGGTAACGGCATCAAGGCCACGCTGCCGATAAGGCCACTGTGCAGAGGTAGAGCGAGACTGACATGATGCAGTATGGCTCAGCCACCCATTCCCCACAAGATGGATGGTCTGCAAGCTGCACTGTGGTCCCCCAGGAAATGCAAGTGTGATATGAGTCACAGGACCAGGACTGATGCCTGCGACAAAGCTGGGAACAGCAGGAGGGGATTGCACCGAAATACCTGCAACGTGGAGGAGGAGGCTTAAATGCATGATTGTCTCTGTAGATGGAGCTGTGCAGCCAGTGCTGGGCCCTGCAACCAACGGGAACCTCCTGGCCACCTAAGGAAGGACTTCCCCTCTCTAACTCGAGGAGATGGTTGCTGGGACTTTTGTCAGAAGCTTCAAGCCTGCACTTGAAAGCAAAATTGAAAGAGGAGTGAGAGGCCTCTGAGAGGTGGTTTCCTCTGAGAGCCTGTGATGGTGGTTTCCCCTTTGTCACACCTCTAGGTGTCATTTAGCTCACTCTGTGAAGATCACAGCATCTGAACACTGCTGAGAAACTGGGTGCAGAAAGATCAAGCCTCATATTGGCCAACAGCTCTGCAGAACCTGCTGCTGCTGACACAGAAGGGATGTGTATGCCATGAGGAGGGTGAGGCAGAGACAGCAGCACATCTGAGCTGCATGGTTCCTGCACTGCTCATGGTGCAACTCCAGGAACCAGGCCAAGCTCGGGACAGGCAACGCAGCACACAGGCAGGGAGGCTGACAGAGGCCTTGGGGTCAAAGTCTAGCTTTTTTTTTGCCACTGAACACCTTGGAGAAGACCCTGAAGGCCCCTGACAGCTCTTCTGCAGGGCTTTGCCGGGTGGGAGCAGCTCGTAGGACACTGAGTCGTCCTCTAGTTGAGAGCTGGTTGGGAACAGGTTGCCCAGCCGGGGTGTGAGGAGATCAATCATCACATGCCAGAATGTGAGAGCTTCTGGCTTCATGAGACCATGTGTGCTGGCGGAAGGATGCCCTGGGGCCTTGCTGCGCAGCCTCGCACACCTCAGGGCTGTGACTGCTTGTCACAATGCCCATTGCTTTGTGCATGACCCATCGAGGATGGAGATTCCCCGTCTTCCTGCTGGTCAGGTTGCTCACCCTCCTGCAGAAGGCTGGTTCCTGACACCCAGTGTGAACTTCTCTGCTCAGGACTTTGTGCCTGTGGCTTTCACTGTGCCATCTCCAGCAACCAAGAGGGCCTTGGTTGCACCAACTTAGTTAAGTCTCCTTCCTTTCGTTGTAGGCTGCTGGCAGATCTCCCTTTACCAGACTAAGCCACCCCACCAGCACTCCTGTTCCTTGGGAACAACTGCTAGTGCAGTTAAATATTTACTTTACCTGTAGGATTTTCAAAGCAGAATAATAATAAGCGTCAAATGTTACTGAACTGTGTCAACAGGGAATGTAATCCGTGTGCACAGCCATCTAAGCAGAGCAGAGGTGTGTTCTGAAAGGGGAATCCCAAAGCTCCTGCCAGTCCATGCTCAGCCATGCCTGTCTGACCACGAGGGCTTGCTGAGATACTCCTGCTCATCTCTGCTGTCCAGGGCCTGCAAGAACCACGCTAAGACTCAGGTAAAACTGTGGGGAAGAAAGGTCCTGAATGTGATGTGTCTGTCTCTTCAGCAAGTGCCCATGTGTACGCTGCACGTGTCTGCAGATCTTCCAGGCAGTTTTCTGTAGGTTTGTGTTGGCCCTTTGCACAAAGAGTACCTCCTACCCACTACCAGGGTGAAGGAGACGCCCTCTCCCTTCTGGCCCAGACTTAATCTTGCCATATCTGTCCCAAAGGAATTCTAGTCAAAACTGCTTTTCAGCTATGATGCTGACTTTCTGTCCAGCGATTCTCTTTTCCATCCTTCACCCTTCAGCCTTTGATCTTGATTCCATCAAGGAAAGTGTTGGTGGATGTGGTAAACTGTTTCCTCAGGGGCAGCAAGGATGCTCACATGGAAAGACTGATGTTGGACATTTTTCTCAAAGGTGAAAAAGCAAGGTCTTCTGGAATGGAGGTCCTTGCTGAAAAGTCCCCCAGTGGCACAGCCTCCCAGATCAGCCCCAACTTTTGCGTTTTGCACATGAAGTATCCCAATCTAAAATGGAGATCCACGTGGTGTAGGAATCACAGAACCATAGAATATCCCAAGCTTGTAAGAGACCTGCAAGGATCATGGAGTCCAACTCCTGGCTTCACGCAGGACCACCCAAAGCCCAAACCCTGTGTCTGGGGGCATTGCCCAAACTCTCCTTGAGCCCCAGCAGCGCTGCCCTCTGGGGCACAGCCTTTATCTCACCCCCACCTGACCTCTTCTGATGCAGCTCTGTGCTGTTCCCTTGTGTTCTGTCACTGTCACCACGAAATGAGGAATGGCAGCTATGAAGCTGGAGGGTCGTCTTGGGGGTAATGTGCACAGTGGGAGGCTGGCTGGTTTGGAGAGGAGAGCAGCGTTACTCAGCCTGCACTGTGGGCCAGAGGGATTTTATAGCAGCCTCTATTGCCTGCACCTGGAGTTGGCAGGCTGTCATTCACCTCTGGGTGCACAGTCTGTCTGTTCCCAGCGCAGATCAAAGTGCTCAAAATGCTGCTTTTCCCAGCGCCAAGATTAGCTGCTGCCTTCTGCTATAAAGGCTGCTGTGAGCGAAGTGAGGTGCACGAATGCATGCACCCATGCCAGCCATGCCCACAAAGGAGCTGCTGGTGCTGGCGCTGATGCTGGTAGCTTTCGTTTCTGCCAGTGGTAAGTCTGCTCTGCGGTGGTGGGCTGGGAGGTGTGGAGGGACTGAGAGTGCAAAAGGGGGCAGAAAGACACAGGATCTCTGTTATGTGGAGAAGAGGTGAGGGAGGCAAGGCAGCACAGCAGCAGCACGGTGGGGTGCAGAGAAGGACAGGAGCACACACATCCCACGCTTCTTGGTATGTGCCAGTGATGCATTTGATGCTCAGTGGAGCTCCTGGTTCAGAGTCCAGGAGACAGGGCTATGGGAAGGGGCTCAGAGACAGGTACAGGCATTCCCACCTCTGTCCCTCTGTCACTACCTCACGCTCCTGCCACCAGCTCTCTCTAGAAAGGCAGTTGTCACTTAATTTCCCCCCTGCTGAACTCTTGGATCTCTGCTCTGTTTCAGGGGTAGAGCTGGAAGAGGAGAACGGCCTGAGAAGGGTAAGAGATTTCCATTTGCTCTTGTTAGTGGCTTCAGATCCTATTGGGCCGCCTCAATGCCTGGCATGATTGGGGGAAAGGCTGTTCCCAGAAACTGCCCCAGCTTTGTGGGTCTCAGCAGTCTCAGCCCAGTACCGACCCCAGGCAGCGAGTCCCACCTTGAGGCACGCTGCCTCTCCCTGCTCTGTGAGCCTGCCCTAAGGGGCACTGGGATCCCCAGAGCTGCTGTGCAGCCAGCTCCAGCCACGCTTGCTGCTGCCCTTGCGCCGTGGGAGGAGGGTGGGAGCTGCCTGCACTGAAGCACTCACTGCGGTTTCTCCTTTCCAGCCGAAGTGTGGAGAGATGGCTGAGCTGCAGGCCTGCCCCCTGCTGCACTTGCCCATCTGTGGGAGCGATGGGAACACCTATGCCAATGAGTGCTTGCTCTGTGTGCAGAAAATGTAAGCTCACACCTGGGCACTGGCCTCCAGGGGTCTAATTTTAGCTGTCTAAATGCAGGTGCTTGTCAAACACCGTGGGAAAACCACAGCCCACGGGAAGGACACAAGATCCTAACTGCGAGGTGGAGGAAGGCTTTTGGCATCCTCTGAACCTGGCTCTGCAGCCCTCAGCTTCACCTCCCCTGATGGTAGTGCTCAAGAACAGGCATGGGAATGCCCCTAGCCTTTGCAGGTGCCAGCCCCTTCCTTGGCACTGTGTTTAGGGACAGTGCAGCTGCAAACTTAGTATTCACTCACCGTGTTGGCAGAGTACTGATCCCACAGGAGAGAGCAATATTTATCCATCGGAGCAGCTTGCTGGATCATGCACTATAGGGTGGCACACCCCCCAAAATGTGGGGTCAAGAGTCACAGCCAGACGACCTTCTAACATAAGAAAAAACTGGCAACAAACCAGGTGCTCTGCAGAGGATGAGAGAAGGTCCCCAGTCTGTGCTGCCTGTGAATGAATAATCACAGAATCATAGAGGGGTTTGGGTTGGTAGGGACCTTAAAGATCATCCAGTTCTAACCACCTGCCTAGGTCAGGGATATCTGCATCTAGACAAGGTTGCTCAAAGCTCCTGGTCTTAAATACCTCGGGGAATGGAGCATCCACAGCTACTCTGCGCAGCTGCTCCAGTGCCTCACCTCCCTCTGAGTGAAAAATTAATTCCTAACATCTAACCTAAATCTCCCCTCTTATAGTTTAAAACCTTCACCCCTTGTCTTGGTCACAATAGTGTGACCCAATGAAGTCTCTCTACAGGCCTCCTTTATGTACTGGAAGATCACTGTAAAGTCTTCCAGAGCCTACTGCAGGCCGAACAAGCCCAGTTCTCCCAGTATCTCCATAAGATGGGTGCTCCAGCCCTCTGATCCCAGTTGTAGCCCTCCTCTGGACCCAGTCTAACGTGCCCATGTTTTTCTCAAGCCGGACAAGGAAGATTTGGATGCAGATGTTTAGAAAGGTGCACTAGGTGGATAGCCTGGACAGGCAAATAGCACCAGTAAATCCTCCCAAGAGAGCTCTGTCAGTGCAGATGCCCAGTTATGCACATCATGGTTCCTTTGGTCCACAAAGGAACCACCATAAGTCTGAGGAGTAGGGCAACAGGGGCATCACGATGTTCAGAAGGGAAAAGCAGAGGGTTGCTTTGGGACAGGACCACCCTGTAATTCTGTGCAGGCTGGGAAATGATGGGCTGAGCGAAGATCAGGCTGAATGCAGATCAACAGGTGCTTGCATTTCCAAGAACACAGGCAGTAGGGAGGGACAACCAGATTGCACAGGAAGATGCTGCCACCGCTGCAGGGTGCTGGGCACTGGGGCTGCTGCATGCCGTTGGGGTATCGGTCTCCTGGGACCTGGGGAAACTGCAGAGGGTCTGCAAATGGCCAAAGGCCTGGACCTGTGAGGGGCTGTGGAGGAGCTACGTCCAAATTCTGGTGGTTCTTGGAGTGGGAGGCCAAGGGGATCCAGTGCAGCCTATGGCCACAAAGGGAACGCATGGAGTCATGTTGCAGCTGCTGATACAACACAGGGCAACAGCCACAAAGTCCCAGAAGGGTTCAGATGAGACACAGGGGACAGGTGAACAGGGAGGGAGGGGTCTTCATCCTCGGGGGTGGAGAGGGCTCGGGCAAAGCTTCAGTGCTCACACTGCAAACCAGCTGGGATGAAATCATCTCTAGCAACGGTGGGACCTGCACCATATGCAGGGAAGAGACCTCTGCAGGCAGCTGCATCTCTTTTCAATGGGACAGTGAGCAAGCAGTTTCAGAAAGGTCAGCTCTGTTCCATGGGCCAGATGAGGCCAAGGGTGAGTCAGGGAACACTTTTTTTTTTTTTTTTCCTAGTTCTTTACTCTGTTTTTCTTCATTATCCTAGGAAAACCAGGCAAGATATCCGGATTTTGAATGACGGGGAGTGTCAAGATATCTGAGCCTCCTGGTGGCCTTCCTGAGCCTGCAAATAGGTGATTAATTGATGCTGTATGCTCTGCGTGCATCAGACATTTCAATCAGTGACAGTAAATAATAAAATTGCATACACAATCTTATTTCAAGAGCATTATTTTGTGCCGGGCTGAGGGAAAACAGCACAAGCCTGTTTCCATGAAGAACTACTAAAAAAGTGCAGTCAAAACATTCGTTTCCAATCTATATCACAAACTAGGCCCTGCACATTGTGCACTGTACATTTCTCTCGCGTTCCTGGGAGCAATGTGGGAGCAGTAAGAAACACACATAACAGAGATCCTGGTGAAGGAGGTGCTGTACAAACACAGCTTCTCTGAAGGAGGCAATTTAGCAAAGGTACAGTTTCTCCAATGTGGGAGCTGATGGCCTTCTCTTCAGCTCCCTAGAAACCACCTTCACATCCAGAGCTGGTGCTAGTGGAAAACAGCAACTTCACGCTTCTTGTATCATTCAGCTTTTCATGTGAGACTGCCCCATAAAGAAATCAGCCCAGATAAGCCACAGGAGCACTAGAAGTGCAGAGTGGAGATCCTGAATTCCTGAGAGCCTGAATCTCTGGGGGAGTCTTCTCAAAACAGACCTGATCTCCCTAGGTGCTCTTGGGGAACAGAATTTGCCTCCAAGTTGCTCAGCATCATGCCTAGATTTCTTCTTGTGCTAGGGCAACTCTTGGTACTACAGTGGGGTTTGGTCCAAGCTGGCTAATGGTCAGCATGCATCAGCTGTCTGTGGGCTCCCTCTGGTCTTTTTTTTGGTCTTTTTTCCCATAGCAGTGGGGACGTGAATCACCTTTCACTAAATATCACAGAATCACAGAATGGCAAGGGCTGGAAGGGGCCTCAGGGATGATGAAGCTCCAACCCCCCACCACAGGCAGGGTCACCAACCTCCCGATTTCACAGCAGCCCAGGCTGCCCAGGGCCCCATCCAACCTGGCCTTGAACACCTCCAGGGATGGACGGGGCATCACAGCCTCTCTGGGCAGCTGTTCCAGCACCTCACCACTCTCACAGCACACAACTTCCCCCTGACACCCAACCTCCATCTCCCCTCCCTCCACTTCAAACCATTTCCCCTTGTCCTGCTGTCATCTCCCCTTTCCAAGAGCTGACTCCCCTCCTGTCTGTAGGCTCCCTTTAGGTACTGCAGGCTGCCATGAGGTCACCCCACAGCCTCCTTTCCTCCAGGCTGAACGAGCCCAGCTCCCTCAGCCTGTCTTTGTAGTGGAGGTGCTGCAGCCCCTGCTCATCTTTGTGGCTCCTCTGACCCTCTCCAACAGCTCTGCCTTTCTTGTACTGGAAGCTCCTGTACCAGGACTGTAGATGGGGCCTCACAAGAGCAGAGTAGAGGGGGACAATCACTTCTCTGTCCCTGCTGGCCACCTCTCTGCTGATGGAATATGTGCACCCAAACTGTACAGCTTGAGTATGCAAGGAGTCTCTTCGCTCGCAGTGGCAGAGATCTGGCTAATGCAAGGTTTTCCACCCAAAGTCCATTCAGTTCTGCTGTGTCATATCCCTAGAGAATGACTGATTATGATTTCTGATCAGCTTCAGCAAAGCTTCATGTTGCTTGGAGAAGTGTTCCGCTGTTAAGTGAAACCTGTGCTCACCCACAAGGCATCAAGCTGCTCTGTCCTGCTGCTGCACTCACACGACTTATTTGTAGTAGCTGGGGGAAGGGTCCGATTGCATCATAAAGTCAAGTGAGCTCCCTGAAGTCGGTCACCACACTGTCAGCCTGGGACCTGTGCCGGTGTCATGGCCACTGTACCTGCCTGGTTGGTTACATGGTTCTTCCCCCACATCCAGATCCACAGCCGTTGGTGATAGATTTAATGCTACCACTGAAAATAGTAATGAGAAGTATAAAACAATCATACTTGGTCAGTCATGGAGGTCCTTTTGACTTGGGGTCTCCAGAACCAAGACAGAGGGCAGTGAGCAAGAGCAAACACCTGTAGGAGGATGCAACAAGGCGTAATTGGGCAGGGACAGAGCCTTGGCATTGCAATCATTGTTTCGTCTGGAGGCAGCTGTTGTCATTAGAAGTTTTCCTGTCCCCAGCCTTGTTACTGTCTGAAACCTACCAGCTATCAGTGACTATTACAAGGACAGAACAGTGGCTGTGAAAGCAGGAACTGTCTCTGCCCGGATTCATCTCCTTACTGCCAACCTTCAGTGCCTGGTTGTGAGTTCTGGAGAGGCAGACTGCCATGGTTTCCCTGACACTGCCTTTTCACGGGCTTTGCACCCAGTCTGGTTAGTTGCTCACAGCTGTCCAGAGGGCTTAACACCTCTGCTGCCCTGCTCTGCGCCCTCTCCACTTCTGCAGGGGTGAGGGCCACAACTGCATGCAGCTTGGTCAGCAATTCCATTGCTGCACCACTCACCCACTGCCTGCTTCTGCAGCTCTGCAGATCCCTACCTATCCCCTAGGGCTCTCCTGAACAACCAGCAGCATATTTTCCCCTTTCAGCCCTTAAAAGGAGTAGGAGACGTTAGGGTCTGGTCTGCACTGCCGGAGAGCATGGGGAGATGCAGCTGGAGTGCACTGCACCTTGGGAATAGGCTTGACCGAGCTTTCAGCTCCAGCCTGCCCCAAATCAGATCACCATTCTGCAGGACAAAACTGGAAGCTGTTCTCTGACTGCTGCTAGAGTGACAGCTGCATGGCTGCCCGTGTTGATCTTCTGGATAACTTTGGGTCTGGGCTGTGTCAGTGGCTGTAGGAGGGAGAGGCATTCTCTGGCTGCTGCCTCGCAGTAGCAATGCCAGATGGGGGGAAAACAGAGGTGAGACTCATAATGCACTCTAGCAAGTCTCCTTCAGATCTCATTAAGGAAGTTGTGTGTGGGTAAAGGCAGCCCAGGGCCAAAGGAAACAAGATAGGAATGTGGGGAAGCAGTGCCTGGCATGCTTGATGCATCCAGCTGCACTGGTTCACTCATCTGAAACTGACCAGAAAATTCAACCTGCAGCAGAAAGGACAAACCTTGGGCTACATCTGCTGCAGAGTTCTTCTGTGCTGTGGCGTTGGCAGGGGACAGGAGGGCACTACAGGCTCTGAAATGGCCTCTGCTGTGCCACTCTCACTCCCAAGCAGAGATAGCTCAAGACTGGGTCTGTAATTTCCACACTGTTATCCACCGCCAAACCTTCCCACAGGATCACAAGTTCACTTGCTTGGGATTTGCAGCAATTCATGCACAAGAACAAAACCCTCAAAGGGATCTAGGTCCTGAGAGATGCAAGCACAGGCTCAGTAAGATGTTAAACCCCATTTATCCTATTAAGTACCTCTTACAGACCCTGAGAGCACAGCAGCTCTTTCACTTATGAACAATATTTATAAATTCATTGCATTCTTAACTGGAAAATGGGTGGAACAGTGTGTCCAAAAAAGGGCAATTTTTTGCTGAGTCAAGAGAGATTTATCAGACCTCAGCAGGCTCTGGAGTGTCTGAGTGCTTCTGCTTCTCCTCCTCAGGAGACATGTGGGTGAAAAGCTGAGTTTTGTACAGCCCAGGCAGTCAGAGCTGCAGCATTAAGGCTGGCAGACCCCTGTGCCTCTGCAGCCAAGAGCATCCCTGTGTGGGATGTATGGGTGTCAACCCATAGCATGCCCTGGGCAGCTTGCTCTGGTTGTTCTGCGTGCAGCTGGAGCTCTCAGCACCCTGCAACACCCAGAGGTGCCCATCCTTTCTCCCACATTTCATATCAGCTGCCAACAGCCCAGAGATCCCAGAACAGTTCTTTCCAAGCACTTCCAGACGTGACGTCCACAGTGACCAGGCGTGTGTTTTCCTCTCCCCCACACACGTTAATTTCAGGATGCACAAGGCAGGGTGACTTGGAGTTGAGCAGCATCACACAGCCTCACCAGCAGAGCACACCTGGCCTTCACTTTTGACTGAGATACAAGAAACTCACACAAGTGACTCAGAAGCACCCCATCTCAGGATGCCACTCACACTCCTCGCCAGCCCTCGCATATCAGAGCCTTCCCATATCTGCTGTGCTGCCAACACCCTGCTGGTTCTTTTGGGCCTTTTAAACTTGCCCCACCTCTCCAGAGGTACCACATAATCTGCAAAGGACAGAGGGGAGAAGCCCCAAGGGGAAGTGGTAACCGGGGGGACAAGCAGGAAGGCAGCAGAGATCACCACGTCCCCCCAGGAGACCCCCCGGGCATGAAATTTGTAACTTGGCCTGGAGTTGTCAGGGACCTACAGAAAGACTGCTGAGAGCAAAGGCTGTGGGCACCCCCAGGAGCTGTTCTGCTACAGGGCAAGTCAGTTGAGTTCACCCATGCCTTGGCAGGTGAGCAATTCCCAGAGAGCTTGGGAGCAGACGCATTGTAGAGTTCTTCTACCATTGCTTCAGTCACTTGGAATTGACTGGATTTGGCTACTTCTGTCCCTGGGGGTCTCCTAAATGTGCCATGATCTCGAGCTGCAAGCAGCCTGCTGTGAGGGGTGGAGGTCCCTTCCCGCGAGCACTGCGAGAGACCTCTGCAGACACCTTTCTGACAGCTTACATCCATTCCAGATCCCAGAACAGGTCTTGGGTGCCTAATGACTCCTCCATGCATCTCATTCTGGAAACGACAGCGAGGCCATGCAGCGTCCGGCTGGGCCACGCAGCTCCTCTCCGCTCTAAAGAAGGGCATCTGAGCCACAGTTTGGCAGCAGCGAGCACGGGTTTCCTATCTGAAGCGGAACTGTTGTACAGAAACATCAGCATGTTTTGCAGTCCACACAGTAGGTGGACTGGAGGGCAGACACTCATACACCTTTAAACTGTGATAAGGAGCATATTATTACCCCGCTGGTGGCCTAGTCAGATAAGTTGTTTGTGGAGGACAGTCTGCGTTTCTTTCAAGCTCTCATTCTGCTGCACCAGTAACAGATTACATTCCCAAGGAAATCAGCCGCTTCTTATTTGACACTGCAAAGAGCGATGGACAGCTTAGGGAGAGACCACGATTATTCCAACACTTCTCTGCCTTCCTCCACAGCCCACGAGGAGAACGCTGAGCCAGGTAACGCTGCGCTTCTAACTTTTATTGGAAGGAAGAAGAACGGTCCTTTTTGTCACTAATGCTTTCTAGGAAGGGGTTACCAGCGCGTGGTTAGGGGATGGGGGATGCACGTTTGATAGTAAATGCATGCAGCTTTTTCCAAGCCGTGTTTCAGATCACAGAGGCACCTATAAAGATCTCTCCACTCAGTTTCTCGGGCAGTTCCAAATGCGCTGTCGCTTTGCAAACTGACAAAAGGCTCTCAGTGTACTTTTAGTTGGAGGGATTTTTCATTTCATTTCATTTCTGTATGCTTGTGCTCTCTGCTATGTAATCTCTCACTGGATGCAGGTGTCTCAGAGAGATTCCTCCTGCTGACTGCAACAGGCAGCACAGCTTTGGAGCAGCCCCGGAGCGCTCTGTTGGTCCGGATAGAAATGAATGAGGGATGTTTTCTGGCTGCACAGAGCAATTTGCTTAGGATGGTCTGGGGAGGAGACAGATTGCATGCAGCGAGAAGTGCTTTTATGGCTCAGGAGGTATTTTGAAAGTGAAAGAAAGTTAGCTCGGCTGCCACAGAGGGACACGTGAGGGATGTGCACTTCGGCTGTCAGCCTGCAGCGGCGTGCATGCAGATCCCGCGGCTGCTGCTTGGAGCTCCATTTCCCCAGGCTGCCTCTGATGGTCTCTGCTGCTGGCAGAGCCCTGCTGCCCCGATGCTGCTTCACACCCAGGCCGTGCACACTCTGCCCAGCACAGCTGCAGGCTGTACGGACCGTGTGCGGTTCTGTCTCAGAGCCTGCCTGTCACTAATTCCATCTCTGGCCGTGCCACTGCTGAGGAATCCTCACACTGCCTGTGCAGTGCCTTTTGCATCCGTGCTTCTCTTCTCTGGGGTCCAGGTAGGATGAAAGGTTTTAGGGAGGGGATCTGCCTTCTCCTGCATGTCTCCACTGGGGGCTCCTGGAATTAGTATGCAAAAAGCATCAGTAAAAGTGCAGGAGAACCGACAGACGACACCAGAAAGTAGGGCTGCTCTTGGTTTCGTGGTCGTTTGGTGGCGTGGCTGTTGTCATTGTTAGATAGTATTGGGATCACCGTGCCCAGATTTAAACAAAGTGCCACACAGAGCCACCAAAGCTGAGGAAACAGAGCCGAGAGGGTAGGCACCTGCCTAGCAGGAGGCATGGAAAGGACAGTGGCACAGGGAGGGACAGGAGATGCCAGCTGGATAGAAAGGAAAAAACGACCGTAGTGGAAAGAGCACAGAGATCAGAGGTGTGCTGTGAGATCTTTCCCCACTTTCCTGGACAAGGTCCTGATTAACTTGAGGTAATTCTGGCCCTGCTGCCAGGAGAACACTGGGACAGAGACCTACAGGGATTCATTCCAAGCAAAACTTTTCATGATTATTATTATCAGAAGAACAGATCTAATTTGACTCGGGGTTGGCCACTACTCTTAGGGGTTTTTTTGTTTTGTTTTGTTTTGCTTTGTTTTGTCTTTAAATCTGTCCCAGACTGTGGCTTTTCCCGTGTTTAACTCAGACACCTGGGGTGCAGGAGCTGCAGTGCCCGGTTAGCCTCAAAAGTCCTTCTCACCTTGCCAGCTCTCCCAGCTGGACAAGAGAATGCCAAAATGACCACTCTTCACTCACTGGACTTAACACTTCAACATGAGCTGAGACTTTTCATAGGAGAAGCTGGATCTGATTGCATCCGCAGGGAGCAGGTCTGTTTGGCTGCCTTTTACCCATTTGGCAGTTGTTGAAACTGTGAAAACTAGTGCTCGTGTGAATTCCTCAGTGCATGTGTGGGAAGCTCCCTCCGTGCTCCAGGCAAGTGCTACTCCCACCAGTACTTCTACCAGCATAGGGGCACAGAAATATGCCCCTGTGTTCCCCAAAGGGAATGGTCTCATGCTATTTGATCTAAGACAGGTCCTAATAAAGACTCCACAGGCTGCAGCCCAAAGGAAAAAAATGGAGGGTTGAGAACTGCGGGCAATATTCATGTGAATACCAGCAAAGGGTGAGGAAATGCACGCAGCTTTCTCAGCCCCTCGAGGTGGGACCAGCTGAGTAGGCACAGGAAAGGCACTGTTGATCCATCTTTCTGCCCGTCTGGATAAACAGCACTAAGCAAGTGCAGCTACCTGGGGAAAAGTGCATTAATGGGGCAAACTCACAGAAGTATTTTGCAGCCACTAATGAATGATGCGTGACCCTGAGTGATTGCAGGGTGTCCCCAGAGGACAGCCCACGTCCTGCGCTTTCAGCTGGCCCCTGTGGTGTGTCATTTGGACACGAGTCACCCAAAGGCTGCAGTGGCAGGACGAAAACTGCAGCTCGGAATTCCTAGGAATTTACAGCACAGATTTGTGCGGCACGCCATCAGATGCTCCCTGCCGATGCTGCTTAGTAAGTACAGTGCCTTACTTACTATTGTATAAAGACCTCCTTCATGATAAAAAGGCTCAGACCGCTTTCATCAGCGCCCTATCAGCAGACGAGGAGGGAGGGCTACAGTCTCGTGGTCAAGAGGTGGTGTTAGCACTCGGTTTGTCCTTTAGGTTCCACCATGTTGCGCCGCTTGAGAGACCGGGAGCTGCTCCGGAAGAGAAAGGCAGAAGCCGAGGAGAAGGATTCAATTCAGTGGGCTCTGGGGTAAAACTTTCTTACGCCGTGTGATCCTTTCTCTGTGCATGTGGCCGGAGACCAGGCACAGGCACCGCATGACGACAGGGTGCCCCGTGCCCCTGTGAGGAGAGGTCCTCGCTGGGCGGCCCTCGGCCTCTATCTGCTAAAGGGTTGCTCTGGTGCTTGAGGAGGGAGCGTGTGGGGCTTTCGTAAGGGATGGGTTGGCGGTAGGAGAAAATTGGCAGCCAGACTCCCGCGTCCTTGCCTGGCCACCCATGCAGAGAACTCCAGTTTCTGCAGGGGTGAACTGGGTGCCACTTGCAGCCTGAGTGCTGGCACAGCTCTCCCGGCAAGAGGGCACATGCCAGGCAAGGAGGGACCACGCTGCCCTTGACACCTAACTCTTTGCTACATGAAATCCCCCTGCAGGGAGCACGAGAGAAGCAAACGGCAGAGGAGAAGCCACGGTGCCAGGCGAGGAAAGGGCCGTGCGCATGTCATGGAGCCCGCACCACAGCCAAAACCACAGCCAAACCCTCAGCCCCCGAAGAGGGAGGAAGCTGAGATGGTGTCCTCCACGGCGATGCAGCAGGCCGAGTCTTCCCAGATGGACATGCAGGACCTGTTTGCTGGTGTGCAGCTGGCAGATCTGGAAGGGATACTGGCCTCGGGGAGCCAGAGTCCTCTGGGTGAGTCCTGGAAAGCTGCCATCCCCATGGGATCCTGGGGGCTGCAGGTTGGGGCTGCAGGGACAAATCCCTCTCTCTGAATCATGGGGAGGAGTAGAAAGCCAGCTGCTGTGAGTAGAGTCATTGGCATGCTGGTCTGTGGCCGCTGGTCCTTTTTAGAGCTCCTTGTCCTAAAGATTTCTTTGCAGCCTTTTCTGCAGGGGGAAGAGGTAGCTGTGTCCTGATGCACTTCCCTGGGGAGAACAGATCAGCATGAGAAACACTGCATAGAACAGCAAAAGTTGGTTCACAGACAAGTGTCTGCCTCGGGTCCTCTTCTATCTGAAACTAAAGAAAGTGACCAGAGGGCCACAGCTGGGCAGCGGGACATGGGTTAATTGCCCACAGTCGTGGGTCACCGTGCTCCCTGCCCCCCTGCCAAGAGCCAGTCCAGGGCACAGGTGCTCTGAAAAAAGGGGGCAAACTCCAGAGCAGGTCAGGGACCATCACACTGGTCCCAGGGTGATGGGGAGGGGAAGGGCAGACGGAGATAGCGCGTGCAGGAGACCTGCCCTGCTGGGGCTGGGGGCAACAAGAGTCCTTACAGCACAGCACGGGGCTTCTGATGCTCTTGTGCCACCACCGTCCTACACCAGGTCCTGCCCCCAGTCCTGAGACTCTGAAACGGAAAGAACAAGGGCTGGACTTATTTGCCTTCTGCCATTAAACCCATTAAGCCCCACAACCTAAGGGACCAGCATGTCCTCTGGAAGTCATGCGGGCCAGCAGGAGGTGCTTCTCATCACATGCACCCCATGGCCCAGCTAACAGAGCCCCCGGCAGCAATGACCTCTCTGGTGTCCTTTGTAGGTGAAGAGGATATGCTGAAGCTGGCAGATGAAATACAAGAGGTACTGAATACTTCGCTGGAAAGGAACGAGTCAGATAATGACATGTATTCATCAAGCCTATTTTGAAGTTTTATTTAAATATATATATATATTCTTCCAGTTTTTATGACTAAGAAATACTGAAAACCCTTGCGGAGAGACTTAAAGTTGCTCCTTCCTCAGGAACAATAAAAATCTGACTCTCTCTCCACCATGCTTCCTGTGTTGCTTCCAGGCCGTTTGTGGGGGGAGGGGGAAGGATGCTGCTCCTTCAGCCCCACGGGAGCTGTGAGCCCGTGAGCCCCATGCCCATCCTCACACCCAAAACGTTCCCCTAGTGTGTTCAGCAGAACATCAGCCCCTTCACAAAGCTGAACCCCATCTTTCAGCGGGCAGGCGTGCAGCGGATTGGGCTTTTTTCAGCACAACATGAAGCCTACAGTCCCTCATGCTGTTATCTGCAGCCTGAAGGCCTTTCTCATAATCTGCCTTCCTTTCCCAGTTATCAGCTTGCTCTCCTCAAGTCTGGGAAGTCTGTTGTTTTTGTCTTGCCAGCAACTTCACTCTGACCTTGCTGAGCTGCGTTGGGCAGATGGAGGCTGGCTGAAAACAGTTGAACGTAGCAGGCTGAAAGACAGCTGAACTGCACGCTTTAGTCAGGAAAATTCAATCTGGGGCAAAAACATGAGGCCACTCTGGACAGGTGCGGTTCTCCCCTCTCCACAGCCAGCTTTCAGGCCAAGACTTTAAAGAAGCCGGAGCCTATGCAGCGCATTCACATTTTTGTGTGTGTGAAATTTGGGAAGAATGAGGGTTTCCTCTCTTTCTTCGCACATTTTGGGGTTTGCAAAGTCTTCATGGCCACCATCTGACCACTGTCAGAGAGCTGTCTCCCAAGAGCACAGGGCTGGCCCGCTACTGAGGTCACTCTTCATTTTGGGCTTCCAGTAGCAGAATAACCAGTGAGATCACTCCAGAGACATCCAGAGACATCCGTGATGCTGTGCTGTGCATCTCAGTGGATGTGACATCTCAACAGCATTTACATCACTGACACCCATCCCCCCTTTGGTCCCTGAGCTTTGCATGAGAGATAATCAGTGCTCACGAGCACAGCCTGCAGCCTTCTCTCCGCCCTCTGAGACCCTCTGCAGTTACAGCACCAGCAGCAACAAAACATCCCCTGGGTGCCAAATGAGAAACTCACAGATGAGTACTGTCACAGGAGCTGTGCCAGAGTACTCTTGCAAGCACTGCATCCACACTATGTTGCAAGGAAGCTGCACTGTAGGGCCTGGAGACACATACACACATTGCCTGGATACTGTGGCAAGCAATGGCTGGCAGCTGTCTCCATCTCCCCAACCCTTCTCAGAACTCCCAGGGAAGTAAATCTACCCTGACATCCACCTCCACATCCCCAGAGGCTTATGCTCACCCACTTCCCACCACTTTTTAGTTGCTGGGGAGAAGCAGCTTCTAGGAAGTTTCACATTCAAATCACTGCACCCCTCTGACAAGAGCACACAAAGCAACCACGTGTGTCCTGTCCCTGTGCTGTTGAAGCTGAGCCATGGGAAGTGGTGAAAGCTTGGCAGGGTTTCTATGAGCACAGGGGAGCGATCCTTGCTGAAGCATGGGGTGGGCAGAGGTGCCACACTGCGCGGCTATGCCTGCAGAGCATGGTAGGAAGGGGCTTGCAGGAAGCAAGACAGCCCACAGAAAGTAGCCCCATCCCCTAGTCATTTGACCTTGGTTGCCTCGGGGTGCTGGAGTCACCTCAGTGACTGTGCACTCACACCAGAGCTCTCACTCCAGCTGGCTCCTTTAGCAGCCTGTGAGAAAGGCTTTTCTGCAGGTAGTAAATTTTATTGCATAACAACCCAAAGATAGAGCACTCTTTATCAGCACTTTCACTTGCACAACACACCTTTTTTTCCTCTCATGTGAGGACAGGTAATAGAGCTCCCTGCTTGTGCAGAATTCCCATGGGCTCAGGAGCAAAGCTGGCCACTGTGGTCCATGGGCACCTCCCAGACGGATCCTCTGCCAGCACCCCGAGCTTTTTCCTCCTGCTGCGCTTCCCCTGCCCATCCCCATGGGTCTGCAGGGTCCCACCGATTTTCTCTACCCTGGTTCAAAATCTCACCAGCTGCAAAGCCCAGTTTGGTCTTTCTGCCACTTTTATCATTTGTTTGTGTTCCTGCGTTCTTATTTATAGTTTCCTCCCTCACAAATCCCTTGTGGCATTGGAGAAGGACCTGTACCAGATGTACTCAGAGGAGGAGACGCCCTCCTTCCACTGACTGTTGCAAGCAATAGGAAAGAAAACAGTGAATCCGGACAGCAAACTCCTGAGCTGGTTTCGCAGGAGCAAAGTTTGCTCTGGGGTGGAGACAAACATTTCTTGAGGGCTGCTCCCAAGCAGTATCTCATCTGGTGGGGTCTGCCTGGCACTGACGATGCAAGATCTTTTTTTACAGTTTACAGCTAGCTATGGCCTGGATGTATGGGATGGAAAAGGAAGACTTTGCTACCTACTAGGGAGGAAGAAAGTTTTGCTACAGATTTTGGTCATAAGTCATGACCATAAACCTAATGGTGTTTATCTCTGGTTATCTCTGGTTGAGCCCAGCAATCAGCCTATCCACATCCCTCTGCAGGGCCTTGCTGCCCCAGACAGATCAATACTTCCTTGATGTCTGCAAACTTACTGAGAGTGCACTCAACGTCCCCGCCAAGGTTATCGCTACAGACATTGAGCAGGGCAGGCCCCAGCTCCGTGCCCTGGGGAACACCACTGCTGACAGGACGCTGGATGTAACTCCACTCACCACCCTCTCTGGGTCCAGCCCTCCAGCCATTCTACCCAGCAAACAGTGCTCCTGTCCTAGCCACAGGCTGACAGCTTCCCCAGCAGAGTGCTGTGGGAGACAGCATCCAAGGCTTTGCTGATGAGACCACATCATGTCCTTCACCTGGGCACTGAGGGAGATGGGGTCAGTCAAGCTCCATAAAACTCCTCTGCCTGCCGTATAGTTATTTCCATAGCTGATGGCTACAGTGAATGATGGCACTGAAGGCACAGCTGTGGTCTGGACTTCACATGATCACAGCACAGACCACAGTGTAATGAAAACAGTTTGCTGTCTGGCACATCGCTCCTTAGGCTCTTTCTCATGGTCTCTTAAAGGTGCAAGCGATTAAACATCTGGAAAATACCCCAGGATTGCAGAGAATACCTCTGAGCAGATCCTCTTCTGTCACTGCAGAAAGCACAGCCACACTGATCCCCCCAGTGGCCCACAGCCATGCGGGGGGCTGTGACATTGCCACGAGTTCCCGGCAGGATCACGAGCCACAGGTGGCCCCCCAACCTTCCAAATCCCCGCTTTGGCCCCACGCAGCCAAAACTACACTCAGAGCAGACAGAGCCTCCAGCAGCATGGGAGATGTTTGGTTTGTTCCACCATGGCTCACCGCTTTGCTTGTGCTTGTCGAATTGCTCTTCAGAAATGAGGCACCCTGCATTTGCAGACAGCTGGGGGAGTTCTGCAGCAGGCTGCTGCTCACGGGTGATGCTTTGAGCCAGGAGGGCTTTTTGCTGGTTAGCAGAAGTAAAGTCAAAGCAGAAAGCAGGCGGCCAGCAGAGGCATCGAAAAGCCATTGCACCTTCCTGGATCTTGCTGAGTAAGAAATATTTTCTTGTTGATTTACCAATATTGACTTTAAGTAATAAGTACTGGTAACTGCAAACACCCACTCCCTCCTTGGTCACCACTTCTTACTGAGAAAATGTTAGCCCTGATCCCTCCATTTAAACAAATACACCTCTAATAATGCTGGGGCTGCCAAGGACTGCAGTTCTGTGCTCTGTGGGCCCAGCACTGACTGCTGGCCGTACTAGCTCTTCCGTGTCACCAGGAAACCACATAATCATAGGAGACCGAAGTGGGGAGAGACCACCGGAGATGGTGAGTCCGATGCTGTGAGCTCGGCTAACTCTGGCCAACCTGCTCGGCGAGTCTCCAAGACTGGAGACTGTCCCAGCTCTTCAGTCCCAGCCGCAGGGCTGCAGCAGCCTCATGGGAGGGCTTCTCCTTACGCTCGGCAAGGAAATTTCCCCGTCACATCTTGTCCCATCGCTCACAGCTCCGAGAAGCCCCCGACCCGCCCTCCGTCAGCCCCTTCGGGCTGCAGTCCCGCTTCGCCTCCCGTTCTCCGCGGGCTGTGGCGCCCCCTAGCGGCGGCGCGGCGCTCGGAGGAGCGGTTCGGCACCGGGTCGGCACGGACGCCGCAGCTGCCGCCAGCACAGCAGTTTCTTCCCATGCCGCGGTCCGGGGCGGTGCTCACACCGAGCCACGCGATGGACGTCTGGAAGAGATGGCGAGTTCTCTTGGGACCACCCAGCCCGCTTTTGTTTTTCTCAGCTAAGCTGCATCCGCTGCAGAGCATCCTCAGGTACTGGGCACAAACGGCCAGGGCTTGGAGCTCTTTCAGTTACTTTTTGATGTTAGGATAATCATCTCAATCGATCTCGGGTGCTACACTTGCTAAAATGCAATTCTGCTCGAGTGCTTAATTCAATTCCTCCTGCACCACTGACTCAAACTTGCACTGACTGAGGTCCACTTAGAGAAAGAAATGAGAGGTAGAACCCAGAGGCACAGCAGGAACCAACTCTCAACGCACATCCCAACAGACAGTCCTCACCCAGTCCACTGGGGCCTCTTGGTTGTGGTGGCAGAGGGGTCCTGGTCTTAGATGCAGATGGGCTGCAGCACCCATCCGTGGTCAGATAACTTCTACATTTCTACATTTGTTTTTATTTATACTGATAATGAGTACCTACTCTGTGCAGCTTGAGCTATCTGTGACTCCAGGGTAGAAGCAAGGGTCTGAGCTGGTCATGGAAACGGGGAAGGGGAAGGAGAAGGTGAAAGGGAAGGGGAAGTGAAAGGGGGAAGGGGAAGGGACAAGGGGATGGGAAAGGAGGGGATGGGGATAGGAAAAGATGAAAGGTGAAAGGGGAAAGGGGAAAGGGGAAAGGGGAAGGGGAAGGGGAAGGGGTAGTGGAGGGTGAAGTGGAAGAGGAAAGGGGAAATGGGAAGGGGAAGGGGGAAAAGGGGGAAAGGGGAAAAGGGAAATGGAAAGGGAAATGGGAAAGGGAAAAAGGAACAGGGAAAAGGGA